GCAAAGACACCTTCTTTGTCTTTTTTCCCGTCCGCGCCTGCCCATACCTCCATCCCCTCCATCCCCTCCATCCCCTCCACCAGAAACCCATGACATCCCATCAGCTCAGCTTGTGCGCGTTGATCGCTTGTGTGAATTTGTTTTTGGGGGGGGGGGGGGGGGGGGGGGGGGCGCGGGGGGGGGGGGGGGGGTTAGGTAGGTCAGGTAGGGAAGGGAAACAAGTTGGTGCGGTTACACTGGAGAAGTTACACTGAGCCGGTAGACACGCCGAACGCTTTAGGGTGCAGATCCTTGCCTCGTTGGGGCCCCTCGCAGCTTTCTCAACGGCATTGGCAAACCTGAAAGTGCCGAGCGAAGCTTACCGGCCCGCCCTGGCGAGATGAGCCCATTCTTCCCTTGAACTGGGGCCCGCCGAGAGTCCCCTACGCTAGGGACCTGTCTACTCTAAGTAGTGGGACAAGGATCAGCGATTCGTTTCTCCTCGTGGGGCCATATCAGCGGTTCTGCGGCGGTTCTGTTCTGATTGATGGCTCGTGCAAGTTTTCTGCAGTAAGGCAAAGCAAGGCGAAGCTCTCTGTGTCTTTGGTGTCTTTTTAGCTCTCTTGCTTCTTTTCGCTTATTTCCCTTATTCCCATATTCTCCTAAGCCCCCCTTTACCCGCTTCGCTTGCTCGTTTCCCCTCATCTGAGGCAGCTGAATGTCTATTGCGAGTCGTGAAAGGTCACAGCTCAGAGCTTCCCGCTTCTGACTATACAAGTACACTACAGTTACTTTGTTTTTTTCAGCCGCTTCAGCTCCGCGGCACCTCGACAAGTAGGTACTTGATATCTTGTCCACCTACCTACGAAGTAGATATATTGAATTCCTACTACGTAGAAACTCCAACCTCACCAGAACCTGGATAAGCTGAATCCATTAGTACCGTACAGTAGTCTGCAGTTGACACCACTAAGTATGTGGTAGTGTACGGTAGGCAGTAGGTAGTTTGTCGCAACCGCCCATATATCATTCAATGTCTCAAAGCAGCAAGTGCGTGATAAACCATGCAAAGCGAGCGAGGGAGCCAGACGACGTCTGTACTTAAGTCATAACGAATAACGCCGCAGCTGGGGGTTCGGCCGAGGTGGGATCACAGAGAAAGTCTAGCTGCAGTCGTTTCATCCTCCCACCGCCGAACCAGCGAGCACGAAGAGCGTTGCGGACAGCGCCCGTCCCATCATAAAGGCGGTCAAGTGTCAGAAAGTGTGCTCCGAGCCGAGATACTGTACATGGTAGATACACCAAGTAGATAGATCGATACCCGCATACCTTACTTACAGGAAACACTCCATGTGTCTGATTCTTCGGCGGCAACGAGTTGACGTGCTTGAAGTGTGCCCTAGCGCATACGGCTCATGCCTTTCGCTACGGACCCTGTCTTCGAATCATCGTTTAGCAATCAGCTCGTCACATCTGGGATCGCGCGTCGCCAAGAAACAGGGTACAGATAAGTGTGAACCGGCATCATCCAGAGTCAAGCGATGCTCACTTGCTGAGTGAGTGACTGAGCGAGTGAGTGAGTGCTTGGCCCAGATATGTAAGTACAGTACACCTCTCTAGACGTCTTATATGTACCCATTGTACGCCGCAACTCCGGCGCGCTACTCAGACGATCTAACCTTAGAGGTATCGTACATCTGGTGTGTATGCATCTGTGCGTGTAAGTAATCCTCATTCTTAACGAGACATCCGGAGACGAGGCCTGAGCCAGTCGCAAGGGAGCAAGTCGCCTGCCCCGCCATACCAAACCCCCCCAGGTTCTGCATTTGGCAATGACTCTTAGCTCGTCATCTGCCAATTCACACATTTCTGCTCACGCGTCGAGTCACCATACCCTCCATCGGGCAGCAACAATTTGATCGCTTACAATTCTTGGTCTAGATGCTCCGTAGCAACCGTCAAAAAACAGCAGGCGGCAGCATTAGACGACAGACAGAGACAGAGAGAGAGAGAGCCTGCAACTTTGTTGATCCTGTTCAGCTTCCCGACTGGGGCTGTGCGGCCAGAGCTATCTCCCAAGACTCTCTTTCGGTAAATGAGTGACCGTCCCTTCTTTTTGCCTTGCCTTCAGCTGGCCCCCAATATATCTGATCTAGAGACGCCCTGCATCGGCACTCCGGAACCCATCCACAAGTAGGTACATACATACTATGTAGGTAGCCAGTGTACCTGGTATATCCGTATGATAGCGGACGTAGTGTAGGTACCTTACGTGTGTCTGCTTTTCACCGTGCTGCGTACAGGGAGCGAGCCAGTGGGTGAGTTACCTAGTGAGGATCCCGTCAGGTCGTCGGAACTTACATACACTCCCTCCCTACACTGACTGCACTAGATAGAGCCTATGTCCGACTCGTGTGTAATCTGCTTCGGCTGACGTACACCTATCCCTAAGCCACCGTGGACAAGGCATGAGTCCCCATGTCGGACGGAACACTCCCCTGAATAGGTCCTAGGGCGGGTGGGTTCTCTCCTCCTCGTCCTCCAGCCTCATAATCTGCTACCCCAAGATCTTCGAGAAAATGCCGACCCAATTAGGTCGCTGATAACTGTCACGGGAGAGGCGCAAAAACTGCCTTAGGCCCGGCCCTAATGCGCCACCTTCTCTCTTAGCTCGCTGCGCACTACAAGGACCATCCTGATTGTCAATGCGGACACTTTCTTAACGTCTTGCTCTGTTGGGGCGACTATCTTACGATGCAATCGGTGTACAGTCGGTGTAAATGTGTTATATGAACGGATCAATATTGTCATTTGCAGTTTCGTCTACAGTACCACATGTGGCACGGGTAATTGACATTAGGTAATTGACTGGCGATGGTTGAAAGTAAGAGCCTCGTCAACAAAGGGAAGTCTCACTGTGCGTAAGCCAGCGTCATCAAAGGTCTCATCTCGTTCTGAGGCTGCTCTACTTGTTCCGGAGTAATATATTGCGAGAAAATTTGTAAAACAAGACCTGAAATTTGACACGCTAGGCATTTCCCTTTCATCTACGGTGTACGTAACGGCTTGTGCGTCTTCGTCACCCGTTGCATCGATACTCACTGCGGAAGTGACCTAGCTGAGACGAGCTCAGCGTTGACGGTCTCGGGAACATACATGGTCTCACATACGCCCTATAGGCGAAGTTCACTTAGAAACAAAACACTCTATGTGCATGAAGTTGTGACACCTAGCCATTCTGTATAAGGCAGATAATTGGAAGCCTCCTTGCGCAACGGCGGAGTCATTGGCCTGCCGGTAGATGGTTTGTGCGTAACACACCTTAGAACATTGCCTAACAAAGACGAATACTGTCCACAGACGGATAGCTTTGCAAGTGATTGCTGCTCTGATGGAAGGGGATACTTGTTGTACGATTATCTATTTTGTGTCCATATTAAGTGTGAATTGAGTCCCTGATCAAACATGTTCAACTAGATGTTGGCCCTATGATTCCAGTGACTTCACAGCAAGCTGTCAATGACCAAAAGCAAATGTCATCCTGGAAATGTAGCGCGAATGAATATGTCTGTTCCTAAGTCACGATGCCAGGATAATTGAGGGGAAACTACGTGATAAGACGGTTGTAGAACACTAATAATAGCTAAAGGCAGTCGCGCGACTCTTGTCATAAGAAATGAGACGTCGAATATATTAGAATCGTCTGTAGGCTGACCATAAACCATCGAACTGAGCTCCCAATTCCTACCTCCAGTGCAAAAAAATCGACTTGATGAGTAGATTTCCCACTGAGCTATATGCCAGTGCTTCCAGGCGGAGAAAGTAACCTGTGAGAATAGAACATCTAAGCGAAGAATAATACCAAGACTGAATAGCATCTTAATTGCTTCTAAGAAGCTCTACATTGGCGTGTAGAGATGGTGACCATGAATACGAGGCATCGCAAGACTACATGAGAAAATAACGGGTTGATATGGCATATAATAGCTACCCTCACATACATACCCAGCACATCAACGCAATCCTCGGCTCTCAGGAATTGTCAAGCGGCCATCTACACGCCGAGGGAGAATGAAACGACGAGGGCGACAGAGAAGAATATAGTTATCAATATATTACGCGGAAAGGAAGCAGGACACAATATCAACGATAGGAAGATAGATGAGGAACGACACTACATGGTCGCCTCCAGACGAGTTAAACGAATGGTCTGATGGATCACGAAGAAATGCTAAAGAAGTAAACCCGAATAAGTCGACGGCAATTCATGTTAAACTTTAGTGTCTATATGCCTCATAGACCCAGATCTATCGTCCAGGCTCAAGATGAAACTCGCACAGGCCCAGATGTACCGCCCTCGCCTCTTTTCATCGTGAAAACAAACGTATGTACATACACACATACATAAGAAATTTAAACAGACCCCTACAAGTCTTCATCATCCATCAAGACCAATGACTCCCAACACACCCACTCCATTCACCAACCAAGCAGCGAATCACCACGAGCACAACCCAAACAACGAATCCCAACACCTCGCACAAAACCGCTTGCTTCGCACGTATCCTATCCCAGATTTCTCTCTCAACGTTATTTACCCCCGACAACAGCCCGTCCACACAAGCAGATCGAATAGCCGAGTCCCAAGATCCATCATTGGACGGACGAGTAAAGCAAAGCGCAGCACAGCACAGCCCCTATTGCACGACGCGAGACTTGATAACCGCGAACGCACAAAAATTAGGGATATGAGAATACAGGGCTAGCAAGTAATCTAGCCCAACCAAGAAATACACTGACGGTCATTAAGAAGGAGATATAGACAGACACGTGCTCGTTATCGAATCAGCAAGTCCCAGAAACGAGAAATAACCGAGAAACACAAACAAAGCGAGCGAGCAAGCAAGCAAACGAAGGAACGGAACAGAATGAGTGAGGAGGCTTTGGAAACTTTTCTCTATTATTTTTTCTGCCGTCTACTACTCGCTAAACCTCTAATGTAGTACCTCCCCTGTTCAATGTATTATGATCGGATAGGATAGGCAGGAAGAAACAGATGTGCCTTAATGAATGAATGGACGAAGGAATCCTAATCCAAAACTTTCTTGCTTGCCCCTTATTCAGCGGGATTCAAGCACGACACAAGGGCGTAAGAATATTGGGTCCAACGCTCCTCTATCATGTATTTCCTAGGGTGAGTCAAAAGCTGCAGTAATTGCGTGGATGTTGCTGTTGCTATTATTAAATCCCTTTCGTCATGACCTAACTCTCGACCTTTCACTCTACCTGCGCCCATCTCTGCTCGCGTAACGGGACCTCCTTATCGTGCTTCCCGTCCATCGCATCTCGCCACGCCCAGTACTCGCCCAGTCGGACGACGGCGTACTGGGCGTAATCGAAGTCGATGTGAGAGATGGTGGCTTGGATCAGAGCCCATATCCCCCAGTAGAAGCCTGGCACGCCCCGGAACATGTCCACTTCGGCGAGCAGTCTCTGCGACTCGGCTTCCTCGTCAACACTGCTGCTCTCATCACCTTCTGCGGGGGGTTTAACCAGGCTGAAGTAGGTATGGATGTACTCGCGGATGAACTCGAGCCGCTGCGCTCGCGTCGGCAGCACCCTGTAGTCGCAGTCGAAGCCACCCCATTCGGCAAAGTGGTTCGCGAGGTCGAAGGCGGCCGGCGACGGCGTTGCATACTCGTAATCGATGAAGCTCACCGAAGGCTGCTGCTGCAGGGTGTTTTGACACACCTCACGTATGTCGCCAGCTCCATTCACGTTGGTCCCGGGCCCTTTTGGCTCGATAATGACGTTTCCACTCAATAGATCGCAATGGGCGAAGACAAGCTAAGCAGTTGAAATCATAGTCAGTAATGAGGTCAATTTCGAAAAGCAGCAGTGCTCTAGCTGTTTCCAGTGGTCTGGGGCCCCAGAGGTGGACAACTTACCCCATTCTTTCCCAGTCCGGGACGCTGGCTTAACCCCCTAACAAGCCACGAGAGCTGTTCCTGAAGCTCTGACTGTCTCTTGAGCTGCGCTTCTGTCTTGGTAGGTAGTGCTCTTATCCACTTCTGCATAACGGTCCATACGTTCGGTGGGGGTTTGCCCGGTGCAATAAGGTCGATAGATGGGCTGTGATGGCCATTTGTGACCCCATTACTTCCCGTGTTCGTCTCGTGTAGGCAAGGCACGGTAGCGTGCCATTGAGCTATGCGTCGCGCCACGGCAAGATATATCGACGGCTCGCGTAGGTCGGCAGGCTGGCACACCTTGCCTTGTATGAATCGGTACATCATGCCATTTTCAAATCGGGCCAGTAATTTCGGTGCTAGACCATACTTCATAAGCAGTTCGTGATTCTGTGTTTCGCGGTGCCGGTCTATGAGGACATCTGTACCATGCCCGTAGGCTCGCAGCAGGATAGCCTCACTGTCGATCTGCGCCTTCGACAATCCCGGTTTACGGTTGACAGCCTTGAGTAGCGTGTTTGTAATTCCGTCGGTGAAGCGCACGAATTCAACTTTCGAGTCTGGGCTTGACCATTCGGGTCGTAGGGCGAGGATGAGCCGTCGAGCGGAGGAGTCATCGTTTGAGGAATCATTGGACGAGTCGTAGGATAGGGGAATGTATTGGATTTGGCTCATGGGGTCGCCATTGGTGGCCCCGTTAGGGATATCTGAATCCATGATGCTATATGATTCGTTCGCTAGTTGATTCTCGTCGGGGGTTATCGTTGTCGTCGTTCTTTTTCCTCTTTTGCTTCGTCGTCTTGAATCTTGGCAGGGGTCGGTGTCCTTGTAGGTAGAATACCCCACGTGCTTGCTGCAGGTAAGCTATCCAGGTACCTACTGAAGTAGGGACGGTGCTTAAAGAAAGAGCGAGACTCGGTTCGTTTTATATGATTACTGTCACGGTGTGCAACGATGTCCTGCACGTAGGTAGTCAAGGTTGAATCGCTCCCGTTGTTCTGGCAAATGCCAAGAGTGTGGGTATCTTAAAATTGCAGATGCGTCTCGAACAGACAAGAGATTTATCAGAAACGCAGCGGAAAGTGCCGAAGCGGGCTAGAGTTCGCTTGCATGTGATGACGATGCGCTTATGTACCGTTTCACGGTAGGTCAGAGCGAGGAAGGGAAAATGTACGTAGGGAAAAGTAGATGATGAGCGGATTCTGGGATGGATAGGCAATTAATGATTGCGAGGTCGGGGAGGTCGTTGGGATGCAGGTCATATATCTAGGCGCTGCGAACCAACGTCATAAAGCAGTACCTATTCGATGCTATGTACGGAGCACATACGCAAGGAGGGGCGGTGATCAACAACAACGGTCGGCTGCTGACGGCAAAACGGCACGTCAGAGCAGAAGTCTCAGCTAACATATATGCTGTAGGTTAGCCAGTCATAATACCTACCTACCTACCTACCTACTTAAGTACTGAGTCCAGATCTGTCGCATCTTCCAAAGTCTAACTCGTGTCATGCTAGAGTCGATAACACCTAGCTGAGGATCTAGACGCCAGGTACCCAGCCGATGCTGGCGAATTGCCAAATGTCGTGCGTGTCCATTTCCAGGGGTAGCTGCGGACATGAATCAGAAGCTGATGGCGCCCGCCCGCCCGCCGCGTTCCTACACTATTCCATGGCACAGCACGATAGCCCCTGGCTCAACGCTTAACTGCGGACCCGCGTGGCTGGGAACCCGTCGGGCGCTTTATCGCATGTCGTTGGCACTCGCAAGCTTCAGCTAGGAGTAGTTGAGAAGGGGAGATGAAAAATGAAATCAAGGAATATCTCTAGAGGCGGTGAATGTCATTAGTCTCCAATGTCGAGGTCCTGGTAGGTGCCACCGGAATTTTCTCCATGAGGCGTGCCTTCTTTCCGAAATAGGCATTCAAGGACGTACCTACCCTACTGAAGAAGCTGCTAGACTAGGTACTTTAAGTAGAGGTACCTACCTAAGGTTAGACTCTGGGTCTGGATGGACACGATTCGCAATCACCACCACGACGTCGTGCGACCACTTACCTCATTTGGACTGCGAATGGTGACAAGGCCTGTTTCCATCTTAATGCCCTACTAGGCACCTATCAGTCAATCAATCAATCAATTAATCGTGCAGCTAAGATTAAAGCTATTGCCCGGCTCAGACGTTCTTTGAATAGAATATCTGTTGATGAAATACCTATTTAAATAGTAGGTGTAGGTAAGTAAGTGGACTGACTACAGGTGACGTTTTGGGTGTAACCTTTGGAGGGCAGGTGCAAAGAAGGAACTGGGACCTGCCGAACTCTTGCATCGGGTTGCGAGTGAAGGAAGGAGCCCGGCATTTGTCTATTGGAGCCACCGAGAAACATAATCGGCCCTGACATGAGATCGATGGGAATTGCTACCTACTGTAAAATTACTTATACATAATGCTAAAGTATCAAGTTAAGATCCTTCGTGTGCTTTTCCAAACGAGCAATAGCCGGGACGCGCCGCTATAAGTGGTATCCAAAACCCAATAATTCCAGCTAATTTTCAAAACATCGCTTGAAGAAAAAGATCAGTTCTCATCATCATCGTCAGCTACATTGAGCCCCATCGCTCGACACAGCTTACGGAACCACGCCATGATCTGAACCGACCACTCGTCCAGCGTGTCGCTGAAGAACATAAGAAGCCTGCTGAAGAAGAACAAGGCGACGAAGGATATGCTCGCAATCACTGCGAACGCGTACCAATAGTCCGTCCCGTGCCAGTACATGTACAGGTCTTCGATCTGGATCGAGAAATAGCTCGTGAGGAAGCTGATAGGCAAGAAAAAGACGCTCAGCTTGGCCAGGAGCGTAGCGCTGCGTGTGAGTCGAGCCGTGGCCTCCGAGTCTTTCTGCTGTGTCAAGTTAAAGAACTGGGCGCCATCTGTTAGCCCAGGTACAATTCGATAGTGACCGTCTCCTCCGACTTACTGTGCTTGAGAGAGCGCTGATCTCCATCAGGTACCCTTCGATAGAGTTCAGCATCAGATACTGGAGCCGGTCACCGAGCCGATCGAACCGGCTGAGGGCAGACTCAGTTAACATGACTCTTCGATGGCCCTCTCCATGACTCTGCCGCGGATGCGCATCGGTCTTGCCAAGGGCCGTGATCTTGTTGATTAGATTCTTGTAGTTCTCGAACAAATGCTTCAGCTCTCGGAGGTCTTTGCTTAGGTAGTGCAAGGTGGGAATAATGTCTATACTCCTTTTCCGGATATGAGGGCGCTAGATAATCAGTCAGCACACTTAGACTAAAGTCTGGTGAAGATGCAGGGGAAAGGAAGATGCAAGACTTACCGCACTCTCAAGCACCTTGGTGGTCTTGTTCATTGTTAGCACCTTCCTTCATTCCACGCGGCTAGTCGCGCTACTCACCATGTTCTCGAGTTTTTTCTCAGCCGTCTTCAAAGGCCCGGCCGCCACATAATCTTCAAATAAGTAATAGAAGAGGTTGCTAGTGCCTTCATCTGCCAAGCTGACCGGCTCGCCTGCGAGAGCAAACGTCATTCCTGTCTCGTGTCGATCGAGGTTTGGCTTATCACGAGAATGCCATTTACTGAGTGGTCGCCGAACAGAGTTCAGAGAGAGGGGCTTCCGCTTGTATAAGTCAAAGCCATGCTTGGAGAGCTGCAGAAGAACGTCGAGGGTATTGGCCCTCATGTTCTGCAACTCCTCACGCTGCCATTTCTTAGGATCTTCGTTGGCCGGCACAGACTCGAACGATGGTTGCTCATGAACTGACAACACAGTATCTGGAAAAGGGATTAGTATCGAATAAAACCGTACTCCAATGACTTTCCAGAACATACGATCATTGCAAATCGTTAGCCATTGCCAATGTTTGGGTGGCATCATGCTTTTGGCCTGAAATTCATGCTCCCCTTTTGGCCGTTTATGCAACCAATGGGCTCCAATACATAGGGCTGCTTGTTGCATTAGCAGCTTCTCTCACTGTCTCGACGGAACTCACACACCTCTTTGTGTCTGATCTGTCGAGAAATAATTCACAGTGTTCTTAACTTGCATGTACAGTTCCATGCTATCGTCATCCAGAGCCCCCATCAATTCGATGGAGCCTTTCTGAAACTGTGCACTCATAGGCGAGTCCAAGGGAATGTTATTGATACCATTACCAACGGCACCAAGCTCAACATCCGTATGCCGATGGAAATGCTTCAAGATGGGTCTTTCCTTGGCCTTGCGTGGATGAGTCGGAGGTTGTAGTTGCGCTGACATATACATCAGGCGAACTAATCTCTCAGAGAACTCATAATGATTTCCGATAGCCGCCACGGCTTCACGCTGAATGCTCGGGTTCCAAATATTTCTGCAGTCTCAGTCAGTACATGCTCAAGACATGATGTGTCAGGCTCTGGGTGTCGTCGTACATCCATCGAATTGGGTAATTCTTCACATCTCTCTCACTATTCAAAAGCCTCTCGATATTCTGGGAACCGAGGTCAAAGGCAATACGCGCGTGCTCAGGGCCAAATTCTACGACGAAGTTCTGACTAGTAAGGCTTTCTGCATGCGGTGTGGCCTTTAGAAAGACTTCTTCAAGATCGAAGTCCTCAAAGCAGGCGGCCAGGCTATCCGTGCTCGCCGATTGGTCATGAACACTCATTCTCGACCGACACTAGGGGCAACGAAATGAAGAGCGCGCTCGATCAGAAAGTGATTTAGATGACAAGTGATAAAAGAAGAGAATAGAATGCCTGCGACATTGAGTGAAAGATAAAATGAAAGGCTACGAAGGACGCGACCGCTGGGAACATTTGTTTCGGCTTTGAATTGAGGAAGGAATCTGCTGTCCAGCCTGACATGTAGCTGGTGCAGCCCCCAACCAACAACACCTGATGAGGTATATGGAGCAGGGGTCGCTATGGCCAGTGTCACCGGCGGCTACAGCCAAGTAGACGCTGATGCCCTGCAATTCTCCACTGGCTGCCATTTATTAGCGCCACCAGCTATTCCTGTCTCGCAATATTTCACGACAAGGCTGTGTGAGAGCAGGACGCACTCAGCGTGGCTTTTGAGTGAAGTAGATGCGGAGTGCCGCATGATAATGGATTACTCCCGCTACCCGCTACCCGCTACGGGTTGGGTGGGGATGTGCACTTCGACTTGAAAGCTGCCGCCAACGGTTCATTGCTTGCTTGAACATAAGCTCAGGGATCGATATAGGTATGACAGGATTGCCTTGTTGGGTAAGTAGATGCAGCCCTATTTCGCTAAGTCTAATAGTGTAGGTATATGTATGAGTGACTCTTGGCTTCCTGACTCACTATCGGCGCCGACATGACCCGACAGGTATCAACAAACTCGTTATTAAAACCTCGAGGAGTTGGTTTAGGACGTTTCAGAGATTATTATCTTGATTACTATACAGGGACTTGGCTTGGTTGTGACATCTCGTGCTTTGGTGGCTCAAAAACAAGTGCGAGCAAACTAAGTCCGCTTAGACATCACATGCGCAAACCCATCAAGGACCTCGTGCCAGATATCATTACACCAATATCCCAATCGAGCAAGCGAATGCATTTATCGTCATAGAAAGAAAGGAAAAGCAGGAAAATTAAATGGCGGCAGACACAAACGAAAGCGCGTCCCAATACAAGATCATCGTTATCCCTGTGGACGATGACGGCTGTCGTTTCTATCTGGAGCAGTACAGACCATTTCGACTAGCTTCGCTGCAGCAAGATCCCCAGGGTAAGTATGTACGTCGTCGCACGCGAGCGAAAGATGAGGAACATGAATGAATAACTACAACTACTACCCCCGTGCTCGCAACAACAACGATAGTTGTGTAGCAGCAAACAAGTTTCATGTACCATACACTTGTCTCACGGTCCACTACAAACTCCTTGCTCACATGGTACCAGACTAGACTGCGCTAATGCTAACACTTGCCTGTGGCGTGATGGGATAGCATTTGGATCTACGTATGAACGAGAGATCGCGTTCGACGAGGAGACATGGCTCGGCCGTATCAAGAACCCGCTCGCAAAGACCTTCGTCGCGGTGCGCACGCACAGCAACCAGATCGTCGCATCGACGTCGCTGATCGGCCCACTGCCGAACGCCACCGTCAGCAGCAATCCTTACCAGGTCATCACAGCAGCACCAGGAGAAGGTGACACGAAAGACACCAACAGCAACAGTGACAGTGATGACAGCGCAAACAAGGCGCCCGTATATTTCCAGATGTCCGCCGTCTACACCCTTCCCACGGCGCGCGGCTGCGGGCTCGCCAAGGCCCTAATCAAGGCCGCGACGGGAGAGGCGTGCGACCGTGCACATAGCCAGCGGAGGCCGCTGGCCCTCAGCGTCGTCGTGTACCCGGACAATGCCGCCGCCATCTCTGTCTACGAGCGCTGTGGGTTCGCGAGGAATCCGGAAGAGGAGCCTGAGCTCGTGGTTAATGAGGTTAAGAAAACGTCGGAGTGGACGGTGAACATGTATTATTCAGGGGAGCCTTGAGGCGATGAGAGCGAGGAAGGGGGAACGCACGTATTATAGCCTGATATAGATACTGAGTAAATAATGATGTATATATGATTTGTCGTTGTGATTAGTCGCATTAATGCCGGGATTATAAATAATGCTTTCAAGTGCGTACTGCAGCAGTATACAATTCGATCTAGATCTTCCCCAGACAGAAGGCAAAGATGTAGTTTTACATAGTAATGGAGAACCGTACTTAAACTGTATAGTCAGCTAGTACTCACTGGTAATAGCCTGATACCTGTAGATTTGACTTTGCTTATATACAAGACCCAGTTGCTGCTTATTGAAGAGTTGTTCAGTATAATGAATCGTAAGGAATACGCGACCTATTTCACTATCTGGTTTCAAACGCAATAATTCTTCAAATTTTTACTAATTTTTAGGTTCCCCGATCCTGCCTACGGCCGAGTTTCCTCATAGGCCCACCGCTGTCCGACAAGAGTACGCATACTTTGTATAGTATATGTGAAGTCTAGATTACAATGTATCATCCATGTGTCTGGCCAACATGTGGGTTCTGGGGTGGACCGCTCTGCTTAGTATCTCACACCTATGACTCTCCACCACTCGAATACAGACTCAGGATCAATGTTACAGATGGGGTAGCCCTCGACTTCATGTCCTTCCGGTAATGTATAGAGGTTTTTGAGAGATCGGATATCCTCTGGATAAAGCTGAAGGTCTTCAGGGTGGCGAGAGGCCAGAATCGAATCATTGCTGGTGGTGTCCAGTTCAACAAAGGGCTCGCGCTCCCCAGCCTCGCGCGCGTTTGGATGTCGGCCTCCTAGAATATGGCCGCCCTCATGCAGGAAGGTCATCGCCATTTTATGGCGCGCTGGAATGCAGAAGGAGTTGTTATAGATGCCAAGTTCAAGTGGTCCGCGGCTCACCAATGCATGAGCTGGGAAAAACGATATTGCGTAGAAGCTGGGCATCGGAGTGGATATATACTTCAGCTTGAATATATATGGATCTGTGCCCGGCTCGACGAAGCTAAATTTAACTTTAGTATGGGTCGTATATTGTTGAAGTGCTACTCGTAAACACTACAGAGGATAGTTGGCACCACTACTAACACGTCCACCTGGAAAGGAGTCGTAATCGACACTGTACGGGATAGTTGACCCTGGGCGCCAACGGAAGATGGACTCAAACTCGCCCCTATGAATGTTGAGAAGTCTGCTATCCAGTTCCTGTGTCATACAGGAGGTTTCCAGGTGCTCGACCTCTGCCCTAGCACTTCTACCAATGTCCAAGACTTCCCAGTTTTTGCGGATGGAGATAGCACGACAGTTGTTAGCACTTGAGACGCCATCGCAAAGGTCGGCAGTGAGTGGAAGCCTTCCTGGGGCCTCCTTCAGTACAGTAGGAAGAAATTCTCCAATGCCACACAGGTCTCTACCGGGCCCTAAGTCTGCTGTATTTTGCAGTCGTGTGTCAACACCGGAGGTACAGTTGTTGTCGCTGTAAGTACTTCTGTCCTTGGCATCTTCTCGCACCATTTCATGCACAGATTCGTCGGGAAGAGAGCCCAATTCAGTTAGATCAGTCGGAGTAACCAGCTCGTTGTCCTGGTTAAAGACGGATTGGAACTTGGCGATGACATGAGATGCAGCCACAGAACTGGTAATGCAGCTCACGGCATCACTCTCTGTCAAGGTAGATTCTAACATAGTGGGAGAATCATCTTGGCGGGCTACGTCATCGCTCTGGGTGCAGGTAGCTTCGTAGCTAGCGAGATGATGAGGCAAGGTTGTAGAGCTGGATGTATGGTTCACATCGGTTGAAGGGTGTTGGCTTTGATTGAAGACTAGCTTTATCCACTGCACGAGCTCTTCACACGATTCAAAAGGAAACAGCATTGCGAGCTCGACGAGGTATTTTTGGTTGTTGTCCTGGAGAACGAAGCGGACCTCATCGTCCCGTCCAGTGAGTGAACAGAGACGATGACCTATATGCAAGAGACCACGGGCCATCTCGCCAAGGTATTCGATGTCATCACAATCCTTGGCTGCCTCTCGAAGGAACATGCCCAATGTCGGGGGGGTTGACCGGCGGTCTGGGGAAGTTATAATATTAGTCTTCGTTGTAGAATTCAGCGTGATGGCGGCCAGTGGGCTAGGGAAAAAGAAACCCAGTCAGGGGAGACCGTGAAAACAGGTAGGACGGTGTGTCTTGTAGATGTGCAACGTCCCACCGCACCACTTAAGGTTGGAGTTGAACGGAGCCTTCAGGGGTAATTCGCGACTCACCTTGTATGCCTGACATAGTGACCTCTTGAACTCTCGGCTCTGTGTGCTCTGCAGTGGTTTTTAAATTCAGTTGTGTAAGATAACATAAGGTGGTGGGCGGCAGGAGAGAGAATTGTATTGGGAGAGTAAACACACAGAATAGTATCCCAAAGTCTTTATGTAGCTAAAAGAAACCACCTCGTGCGACGTCAAGACATGGCGGGGTACTCTCTGTTTTAATATTACTCATTGACTCATATAGGTGCTGAAAACAACCTGTGGGCGATACCGCTACCTGTTTTTCCCGGGAGGCCCCTATGACACAATCCCCGGCTCCGGAGAGCAAATACAAGATAGGTATCACATACCGGGTGGCAGTACCTTCGGGCTTCTCGAAGTGCCTCATGCCCCCCAAACACCAGCCGACAACTGTATCCCTCCTGCAAGTTGAAGCCACATCAGCTGAACTCCTTGTTCGTCGCCTACCATGAGTATACATACTGTAGTAGTAGGACAGCCACAACATCAGTAGAGCTATCATAGGTAGATCTGGAGATTCAGCTGGGGCCTTGCTCCCCCGGTCAATGTACCTAGATAAAGAACTCTACAGGTACCATGTGGCGTACGCCGTGTAGTCCGTATTAGGTATTGTGTACGTTCATAAACTGTGTAGCATCAGACTATCCAGAGCCAACGTTTGCTCGTTGTCGGAATATGTACTTTGTCTTAACAGTGGCCTGCATGTGGCCCTTGTCTCACTGCTATCCATCTGGTCACAGCTACAAATGCGCCTAGCATCTACAAGGGTAAATAGGCCTGTCCTCTTAACAATAGTAGACCAAGCATTGGTATCAATTCTTTCAATATACCCCAACAGAGGAGCCTATATTCCTTGGGCTTCCTGTTACCATGATAGACGTCCCAAACATTCGAGGCTTCTCTTGTCTGACATCGAGGGTGCCAATGTCGCAGCGAGCCGAAAAAGGGCCTAGCAGCAGCTGATCACTGCACATCCAGCTTCGTCCATACGAAACACAGTTGCTAATATTATCGTGCAGCACTCCAAGCTAATCTACCAAAAGTCCATATTCAGGCCATTACTGAGGCTTTTCAGCCTTCCCTTATCTAAGACATCTTAGCCGAGCTCGGAGATTGGGAACGCTGTCCTAGTCTATACAGAGGCAAGTCAGCCTCCACGGCGGCAAGGAATTCGGTCGGAGGACCCCAATTACTGTACCATATACGGCTATATAAAGAGTATGTCTAAGTAGGAGCCCCAAACAATAGATTATTCTTTTACCCAAACCTCTTTATTACCCAGGAAGCAATATCGACCTCGCTTTGATGATATGTGAATTTGGCCAAGAACAAAGGGGGCTACTATATCTATGACATAGAGGACTACATCCGGAAGCGGTGGGCAGGAAGAATAGTAAAGTACCAAATAAACACCAAAATCAACTGAATGTTATACATTACAACTTAAGAAAATCGTGGGAAAGCTCTGCCGATGGGCTTATGGTAACATAATACACTCTCCGAAATTCATTAGTGCAACATCATATGGGTGACATAATTCCCTCGACTATGTGGAGGCGACCTCGACCTCGTGACCGTAGATCAGCGAGCCCGAGGGATAGGGTCGGCCTTAGTTATCGAAACCGCAGTTACTCATCTGATGGGAGCTATAATTTAAGTGCCAGACGGTTGTCGGCGGTTGGTGCGGTATTAGAGTCGGGACGCGGCCGAAGACGAACAAGAACCCCTATTCCAGATCCAGTTCCAGCTTCGGATGACAGCGATGACGACAGTGGCGACGGCGACGACGACAACAGCACTAGTGAAATGGATATAGACACCAATGATGATCCTCCTGTGAGAGACGGGCCTAACGCGACGACTATAGGTTTTGAGTTTGAATTGGCTATAGCTGTGACCAAAAGGTCTGCAGACATTCCGGATCCGCATCCGAATGATGGACGCTGGTTATCAGATAAACTCGTTACAAGATATGAAGATGGCCTTGGCTTCAGGTATACCACAAAAAATAAAATAGTCGATACCCTAAGAGCCGCTGGAGTGCCAGCGCGGAAGAGCCAGGAATATTGTAAGTCGATTTATTTCCCTGATGATGGGATAAAAGTATCCTATTTCATGTCTCGTCTCAGCAAGGGGAAGAGCAAACCGTAATAAGCATGTCTCAGTTATATCTCCTCGAAAGTTTCTGTTTTTCTGTTGTTCCATGTACTCAATGAATTCATTGTTTTCTCTTACCATACAGCGACTGTTTCCCTTTTTGACTTAACGAATGTTGTTCTAGGGTACGACAGCATGCTGAACGAACAGGACTCGGGCTTCGAGTGGTGGGATAGCTTAGAATACGAAACTACCAATGAAAATGACCTATCTCTTGCCACCTGGGCGGGGAATTATCAATGGAAGTAAGATTCTCATAGTTCGACACCTCAAACTAAGACTCTCGTCTTCTTGAGAATGTTATGATCAAACTGTCATCTCCCCAGGGACCAAGATGTGCAACCGAAAAGCACCATTGGCTAGTTGTCTAGAATATCTGCTGACTATGCAACAGCGATGCTATAACAGATGATAAGAATGTCGAACAGGCTACAAAGACGTTAGCTGCTCAATTTTGGCAACACCACAAAGACCAAAAGTTGGCACCACACCTAACAAGCCAAGAGATTATGGAGACCCTGCAAAAGGATATAGGCTACATGATCGTCGGAGTGGCCCCAAAAAAGTGTCGAGAGAAGGTTAAAACGATTTGGCTTGAACGAGTGATGGGAATTGCGAGGAGTGAGAAAAAGGCACACTACGGGGCCCAAGGCCATGATGATCCCAACCTTGTACGGGACGTAGCTGAAGATGAAAAATACCGAGCGTGGTCAGTTACTAACGATGTTTCGGTTGATTGCGACACAGATCGAACTCATTACAACATCCCACCTGGTTCGATCCCAACTTTCCCATTGACCGGACTACCTATAGGGGAGCCGTCAACACTATACAAATGGTTTGGTGCAGAAGTTGTCTCTCCCGTTATGGATTACGACAACCCGGGAGTTTATCCTTCATTGAGAAGGACTGCTCAGGCACTTAGAGTCGTGATGCGGATCCACAAACCAATGTCACACATCCAGTCTGGAGTCCACATCCATATAGGTCAACAAGCTGGGTGGACATTGCTACATCTGAAAAAATTCGCGACACTTTGGCATGTAATCGAGCCTTTAATGTTCAGTTTGCATAGGCAAGAACGTTCAGCCGGTCGTTGGTGTTTGCCGATGAATAGGGATAGTATCCTGGGAAGGCTCGTATATCGGCATGACACCAGATACAGCAAATACGCACCTACGACAACAGGACCGAAAAGGAAGGCCTATCAAATGCAAATGAATCGATACACTCCAGACTTCGATAATCGCGCTCTAATGCGCCAATTTGTGTACCTTATTTGGCAGTATGATACTCTAGACGACCTGAAGAGCGCAATGCACCAATCATCTCTTGGGATGTGTAGTATCCGATGGAGGGTCAGTGGGAATAAGTTGTCCGCCATGCCTGATCGTGAGGATATACAGACTTTAGAGTTTAGGTTGATGCAAGGGACTTTAGACGCCGATCATGTCTGGAAATGGGCGAGTATCCTCGAGCGTCTCGTCGTCTTTGCCAGGGACGCAACTGAACATATGTTCAGAGATGCCATTGCGGAGATCGTGGAAGGAAACACTCCGCAAAGCGTAGGGCTAAATCAGGAGGACTTGCGGTGGTTTAAAGACCGGTGGTCAGACAAGAAGTTTTTTACTTACCCTGACAAGGACGTGATTGACTGGAGTGACCCCTTTATGGTCCCAGGGCATGGTGACACGCATGCTAGGTAGATACCCCACCCAGTCCTTTTGACTTTACATATATGATATTCAAGCACATACCAAGGCTCTATAGAAGAAGTTGGTAGAGCAATATTGAACACTCGGTACGAAGGCGTCTATTGACTTATTGTAGCGGTGGCCTGTACAGCTATATAGCCCGTAGGTAGCCAATAGTCTACAGGGGTGAGTTCTCAATCACTTGCGTGATAGCCGCATCGGTGTTACAAGTAAGGCTATAAACCCCCAAATGTCGTAGAGGGCAGACTGCAGATCTATTGGGCTGTTGTGTGCGGGGCATTGCAAAGATGGGAGGCTTATAGGCACTTTGCTGCCCTGATGATAAACAGAATTATTATAGCACACATGCATATAGTGTTAAAGTCAGACAAGAGCCATATTAAAATAAGCCTATAGAAGTAAAGGTATAGAACCAATGAGTTTGATTTCCAGCTGTCAATGTCATTCAACTCAGGGTACCCTGTGATATGTATCAACTTTTTAATATTTGTAAGTAGTACAGAGTGCGTTGCTGACTCATCATTGTGGTTTTCGACAACCCACAGTTCCGCTGCCCTTGACAACGCTTTTAAAGCGGCCACTTTTCACTTTATTTAACCTTTAGGTTAGCAATCGAAATTTTGAGTGATGGGAATGGCCAATCTATATCCGGATCTACTTTTAAAGAGCGCTTTTGACATTGTTGGCTGCCTTCTCCACATAGCCGGCTCTTAGATAATCTGGGGGTGTGACAGAGAGGTCTCTTTCCATCTACGCGGCGGGCAGACGATATGCTCAAGAGCTGCCAGCGCCTATAGCGTAGTATAGGAATGGTGAGATTAGATCTCCCGTGTTTATATCATTGTATATGTAAGTAAGAAAGGGAGGCGGCGGGTGGGGCTTTGTTGCCTGGGCACCAAGAAGGTTCGACATGGACAAAAAGGGGCTGTGGCTAAGTTCATTTCCAAGTAATTGGTCAACGACACTCGCTTGAATACCTTGCTTAAAAACCATGAAGAATGGTAAACAGAAATGCTCGTGGAGAACAAGAGGGTTTTTTTATCGTAAGGCAACCAGTGGCCTCGCGTCAGGGTTAGAGAGCAGATAGTTAGGGGTGTATATATTAAGAAACTAAATTTAGATGTATATAAGTCTTTGAAACTGGAAGAACATAACTGACAGCTGCTGTTACTACTCATGGAAGGAGTCAAGTCCAGCCCAAAAGTGCGCTCACAAAACAGAAATCGTGCAGTTTTGTAAGCACTGCTTAGTAACTCTTCCCACCACTCCGATAAAAATAATAAATCTACCATAGTTACCATTTCCCTTTAAACAAGTCGAAATTCGGTTACTCGATCCTCGCTCCACGCCTTTTCCTTCATCATGCCATGGATAAATGCCGGCCCCACAAACCAGTGCCGCGTGTTTTCTTCATCCCTATCCCTATCGTTGTCACCGTATCGGCGTAAAATGACTGGCACGGGCATATATGCAAGGAGTGCGACCTGGTCACCTTCCTCCATATTTAGCGGTCCCGATCCTATATGCCCTTCGGAATCAACAAAGAGGGCCCGCTGACCTAGGATCACAGGGATATGTTCGCTATGCCAACTTAAAATCGCCGAATCTAATCAATCCAAATTTTGATTGAACCCAACTGTCTTCTCAGTGCCTGGAGCGCGACGTAGCCATTCTTGCTGACTGGTACATTCTGTGACGTCTCCGAGCCACCACAGCGGATAGTGCATTGAATGGTGTACGCGTTGGGTGCTTTGAGGGGAGTACAACAACGCCGGGGAGATTCGCATGTGGCTGGATCGGAATGGCAGGCCCAAGCATATGACAGTGCATCATATGTAGGCGAGTCGGCTAGTTTAGTAACAACAAGCTCGCTGGTAAGAGGCTCTTCTGCACGGGCATCTGTTTTGATGCCATCGAGGTGGAGAATTCGAATACTCTTTTCGGGTAGTGGAATGTAGAATGCTGTGAGGGGATCTTTCCAAGGTCCATCATCCTCGCTAGCCACTTCTGACTGACTAGGCTGGGAATGTTGAGGAGTTGGGGGTCCGTGAGAATCGAGTATGGTGGCAGAGATGGTCGACAAGGGACCAATGACAACATTAGGAGTGTCCCTCATGATGTATTCAGGAAAATAACCGAATAAATATATTGGAAGAATCAGAGGATTATGCTAAAGAAAATTCGTATAGTTGTGGTGATTTGATTTCCGTTTGCTCTTTCGTGTCGATCTCGAAGCCTTTAGGAAGGAGGGTAGAAAATAGAGGGGTATATGTTGGATATTGTATATTAAGTATAGATCAAATATTTGACCGGTCAGCCAAATCTTTTAGCGCGGTAGTAAATCAGACAGGATCGGTAAAAATACCGCGTTATGTGCAATCTTAAGCAACCTACAGGCGAAGCTAAAAGTGCAGGTTTTCAGCGCTTACAGGTGTAGAGGTGTTATATTTAGCTATTTCTGACCTTGCTATAGCCCTTTTCTAAAGCTATATTTATACATAATGCCCTCATACTAAATAGTTGTGGGGGCTATATATATTTCTATTATATCAATTATGCGGTATTAAGTAAAAACCCTGCCTTACGACCACCCCCCGTTACGACTAGGGCCTTAGGCACCTTAAAACGCGCTTTAATTCCCAACCATTTAATTAAATATTATTTAATAACGTAACCGTATTTAAGTTTTATAATAACTTTTTACCCTTATTTTGTTTAGAATTAATTCCTTTTTATTATTATGTTTTTTAATTTTAAAAATTATTATATTATAGCTGCTATTTATATAGTTTAATTTGGAACTTTAATTTAAGTAATAATATATATTTAAAGTATTAATAGATTGTACCTATATTATTAGCTTTAAAGTATTCCTATTAAAAAATAAACCTACGTTAACCTTTAAGCTTTATTAACCTATTATAAATGTTAATTAGTAAATTAAGTAATAGGATAAGTTAGGCTAAGCTTTATACTTTTACTTTTTAAGTTTAAACTTATAATTAAACGTATATTAACCGCTTTAAGTAATAATAGAAGTTTTAAAAAAGAGTAATATATGTATTTTTTAATTTAAAACGATAAGGTTAAATTAATTAAATTGTAATTTATTAACTATATATGTATTAATAGTACAATAATGGTTAATATTAACCTTTTTTTTAATTGCTTTAAAGCTTTAAAAATTGTAAATATTCCTTTTAACTACTTTTATAATATTAATAAAATAGGTATAGGTTAAAGCATTAGTAATAATTATTGGATAGTTATTAACTTTATTTTACGTTAAACTTTTAAAAAAGCTATTAAAAAAAGTAAATAGATTATTATTTTTAAAGCTATTAATGCTATTAATAATGCTTTATTATTATTAATAATTTAAAAGGGTATATAAATATAAAGTTAATAGTTTCCGGATTAAAATTAAAGCTTATTTAAAGATTAATGCTTTAAATGTTTACCTAATGGATGGATTAACAATTTTATAGCATTAAAGTAGTTATAGGACCTTTTTATACTTTATATTTAAAGCTATTATAGTAATATATAATATATATTAATATATAATAGTTATAAATTATATATTAATAATAAATTTCTTTAAACTTACCTTTTAAATAAGATTTAGCTTCTGTTTTATAAACCTTATTATAATTATATATTATAATTATTAAACGTTAAAGTTTTTAATTTATTAAAGAAAAAGTTAAAAAATAAGCTATAGGAAATATTTATAAACTATTTAAAAGTAAAGCTTTTAAAAAAAGATATATTAATAATATATAAAGCTATATATATTAAAAAAAGTATAAAAAACGGTTAAAATATATTTAAAAGATTAATAAGTATTACTATTTTTAAAATATATAATATTTAAAAAGAAGGGTATTATAAAAGTAGTAGTATTAATATTTATAGTTAAAGAATAACTTATTATATTTAATTTATTAAAAATAGCTTTAAAAATTATAATTAAAATACCCTTTAAAAGTTAATAATTATAAGCTAATATATAAAAATTAGCTTAAACTTTCCTTTCGTTTAATAATTTATTATAAAAGCTATTTTTTATAAAGGTTAGTAAGGCTTTTAATAAAAAGGCTAAAATTATTATATTTTTATAAGTAAAGATTAAAGCGCTAAAAGTTAAACTTTAAAAAAATATTAAGGTTAAGCGAAAATTAATTAAAATAGGTTTTAATAATAACTTTATCCATATAATATATATATAAAAAGCAAAACGCAAATTATATAATCGTCTAATATATATTAACGAAGCTGCTAATCGATACGTTTTAAAACGCGAGGATACTGATATAAAAAAGGTTATTAAGGTTAAAAACAATAGATCTAATTAAAAATACTAAAAAAAGTATCGCGAACAACGTATTCGTTAAGAAAATCGCTTTAGAAGTTGGGTAATTAGTAGGCAGGGGGGGTGGTCGTGAGGCAGGGTTTTTGCTTATATGCTGTGGGAATGACTTCAATCGATGATTCAGTTTAAATATTGTAGGGAGAGCCCGGAGAGGTTTATGTGAACCTTTCTGCCCTATGGGGCAAACATGGCATAGGGGACTCCAGTTTCGGATGTTATAAGCTTCAGTCTTAGAGGCTTCTATACTAACACTTCAACATTCGTATACAAAATCTCAACTTAACGAAATATTAATTATACTACGATGATGAGCCCAGACATATCTGCCAGCTTCTCCCCAAGCTTCTTGTCCACCCATGACCTTTTCTTCCGGTGGGGTTTACCGGATATAGACCCATGGGCCGTCGAGGCGACATACTCATTTGGCAGAATTATTGCATCAGAGTCAGATTCGCTCGAATTATCGGTCTCGCTTGCATCAAACCTCAAGTCAATCCCTTCGTTATCGGAGCTAGAAACACAATCGTAGCTTCTCTTGAGCCCCTTAGCTTTTTGTACCTGTTCCGAAGGACTGTCACCCCTCTGTCGACCTGATTTAGGCCGTGGTCGATAATAAACCTGTTGCGAGAGCCAGACTCGCTGTACGCATTCCCAACAGAATGCCCCGGGCAAGACGATCGTTGGGTGACCTGCTTGTATGGACAGAGCAGTTGTAGCAAGCCTGCCGATCCAATTTCTGGAAGAGCGAACAACACCTACGTACTCGGGGGCATCCAGTAGCTCCGTAAAATTGTCCACAGTCGTAATGCGAGGGTTTGGAAGCAGAGTGGAAACATCCTGGGGTTGGGTATGAGTACACTTCGAGCTGATACTGTAGATGTCATCTCGATTGAGCTGGGTCAGAATATCGAGGTCAGCAACCCAGCGACCATGATCGTGCACCGAGATCACGGATTCCTGGAAATAAATCTCGAAATCTCGGATACCGTGCTTGCCTGTGTCTATGGGCAACACATAATCAGTGAATAATAGGTGCAACGTAGTGGCCTGGAACGAATCTTCTTCGCCCCCATCATATGGGTTGTGGCTCGCGAGGTGCCAAGAGGACTTATCAAAATCTGGAATCTGGGGGTTTTCAGCGGGTATCAGCATAGCAATCCCGGGCTTGCCTATGCTACCTCGAATGCGGCGAATCTCGGAATCAGAAGTGCATTCTCCAGGGTCGCTTAGCAAGGGAGCTGATATATAGATTGATGCATTAGAAGCCATGGCCATCACCCTCGTCAAAGACCCAGGGTCTACTAAAAAGCCCCCAGACTCAAATAAAGCAATGCACGAGAATGTGTGGCTTCGATCTAACTGGTACTCAAAAGAAGCGGATGCTCTTGATTTACTCTCAATGGGAACCCAGCTCATCTTGTACAGCGGAGTGGACGTAACCTCCAAGGAAATTGTGGCATCGGGAATGGAAGAGTAGACCTGATTGACAGTCGCTAGAGCACGCAAAGAGGTGTATAGATTCGTGAGATTCTTCGGCCAAGCTGACAGGTGGTCAAAGAGTTTATTCTGATGCAAATGCCGTGACGCCACTGCTTCAGTCAGGACGTCAAGGAGAACAGAGCCGTCTATTTGGGCGTCAGGCTTTGTTGCTGATGTATCGGACACCCACAGACTAACCCTATCCAGTTCCCCAAGGACGAAAGAAAATTTGACCGCCTTTTGAGGCTTCCCATCACCATCAGGTATAAAATAAGAATGTTCAGAAAGGGCATCCGGAGGGCTGACCCAGTAGAATCGCTTAGTCTTTGACCTCTTAGTGTCTGTGACGATTTGTATGTCGTTGGCATGGAAATCATATGGATCCTCTCCCCAGCTTTTGATTTCTATGCAGCGGGGATCATCAGGGTATAGGTCTAGCCAGCGAGCATGCCTAATCGCCGAGGGGTCTTCCTCCACCGACGGTATTGGGAAGGCTGTAGCGAATTCGACGACTTCGTTGTTCTGGCAACGGATAATGTACGTCCTTTGGTGTCCTCTCGCTATGCCATGGATAAATTTGCGCAGGTAATATACTGAGTGCTCTATGGACAGCATGCTGAGAAACGTCTTGATATTTGTTAAGCTATACACCGGCTGGAGTTCATACGCGGCCTTTGGTTGTAAGAAAGTACCACAGCGCTGGGCGCCCAAGCGCATCAGCTGTTCGCAGTGCTTCTTCGATACTGAGTCTCCGTCCAGTAGGACACGTAGAGAGTTGGCAAATAGTTTCAACCAATCAGCATCATAATCATCTCTGCTATTAACCTCAATGCTCTCGAAGAGTCGAATTGTGAAGACAGCCAATTTAGTCCGGTCAAAACCCCAAGTACTGGCGAGACTTCCGAAAGCTACTTGGTTGAGTTGAGTTACTGAAACTCGATTTCCTTGAACACCAAGGCTGGCCCCAGATTCGACTGGCGCACCATAGTATCGAAGGTGTCCTAGGGGCAAGGACCAATAGACGCCTTCACCACTCGGGCGCTGAATTTGCAGACCAATAGTTAGGATTGCCCCATCCTGTACCACTGGGTCATTCTGCCTCACTGGGACGGGCGACTCGTGTAGAACTAGCATATCCGGGTAAATATGCCATGAACATAGACCGAGGAGTACTGATGCGTTTTCCACTGACTGTGGCATCCCCTGAATTAGGTTGTCGGCAGCAATCATAGCAGACTTCCAGGCCTGGAGAACATTTTGGTATAATTTCGGGTGATTGTTGACTGGCAGAGAAACGTTATTGACAATTAACATCAACTGGGTCTGCTTGACTCTCATTGCTTCGTCTGCAGCTTGAATCCATGATCGGGCGCTATCATCCCACTCCTTCAATTGATCTCTGGTAATAGCAATTCGGGAGAGATCTCGAGAAAGATGGCAAAGGGGATCGGTCTCATCAACTGTTGAGAGTTGATTGCGTCGGTCGGCTACCAGTTCCGCCCATATTGCTGTGGCCTCGGATCTCGTCCAGATCCTCGCAAGCAGACATGCTAACAAGTGGACAGCAATTGCATCTGGTCCAGAAGTGGCGGCTGCCCAGACGCTGGTGCCGTCAATCCCAACATGGTCGGCGAAGATTCCATCTGATCGGGAGCCTTTTGGGTTCACCTCCGGCGTTGCGGCTATCTCTGAGGCCCGAATCCCGTATGCCCGAATGAGATGAGGAGTTTTGGGAAGCCAATTCTGAAAAAGCGCCCCCAGTTTCCTAGCTGTCGAATGAGGCTGCCCTTCTTCGGCTGAGAGTCGCCTTGCAGTGCTAATTTCCTTTCCGAGTCGTAGGAACTCCTTTGGAGGTTCGACTTTAACAAGTGAGAAGTCGAAATGGAGTGAGGCGAGCCCAACAGCGGTTTCTTGCTTTGCGGAGAGGATCGATGCCGATATCTGTTGAAGAGCCATATTCAAAAACCCATAGCGAGGGGAGCGGGAATCTTGGTGATTTGCTCACCCTCTCACACACTCAAGTAAGTCAGCTGAGCCAGAAGTAGCTTTATTGATTAGATATATATTCCCATCTGAAGAAGTGGTTTTGCTACAACTGGAAAATGTTCTGGCACAATTGTCCCCTGTGGGTGGCTATGCAGCGGGGCTCAGAAAAGAGATGCGCATATTGAAAACACCTAGCTACTAATTACATAGGCAGATAAGTAGGCTAAACTGACTGCACGACTTTCTGCCTTCTTGGACGCCTTCAATGCTTTGTGAACCTGATGTTCTGAATGATTGGAGCGCTCAAGGACCTTCGCGGTGCACTGCCGCAGCGCCACAGTAGTTCAGCTGAAGTCTTCGCTTCCAATCTAGGTATAATTGGGGTAACTACATAGTGGCTTAGGGTATCGGCGCGTATCCAGCGCGCGCACCGCATCTGGAGTAGGTAGTATTATATCTCCTGGGGCGCGCGCACCCGTGAAGTAGCTCACTCGAGGTAAGGCCTAGAGTTAAAAGAGCTAGTTCAAGATCATCTTTCACTACCTAGCTTACTCCAAATAATTGAGTTGAGCAATTGAATGATGCCTCTTTTCCCGTCGTGTTGAACTGTCACGAATAAGGACAGCTGGGCTGATGAGCATCTAGGATAATTACCCCATAGCTTATACCTCCTTTGCCTTCTTTGATAGGGCCGTAGAGGGGGCGACGCTTACTTAATAAGGCTATACGAATCTATAACATTAATCTACGTCTGGAATCTCGCGACTGAAAGATTCTCTGTTCCTATACGCGACTCAACCGCCGAGAATAGAGCACCACCACCATGACGCTCGATAGCACCCTCTCGAAGCTTAAGCCACGGGTCATGTTCTGGAAACAGGCGAAGGAGAGCGGCTTGACCAAAACTAGCCCTCCCAACATCGATTGCGAACAGGAACCTTTTAATCAAAGGGACGTCATCTCTGACCCCGCAATAACCGGTCCGAAGACATTGTGGGATGAGGCGTATGAAAGACTTCAAGCAGAAAAGCCTCATGTCGTAAATTCATACGAGACGCTCCTAAGAAATATCTTGATACGCCAAAAAAGCAAGCCGTCTACTGACCTCCAGAGCATGTTATCCGATACTACTCCTCCCAACATCGAAGCGCCAGAGCATGTGCAACAGAGCAACAGAGATCGGAAGCAAATGATGGAAGCCATTATTGACTTAGGCCAGAAACTCGTGGAGGAAAAGAAGATTGCATTCAAAATAGGAGACCAGGAATTCTCACTGCGTGACCAAATGCAAACTGCTGTGGCCGGCATCCAAATAGGAAAGGTGTTTATCGATGAGGCAGTAAAGGCGAGCCCCATGGCTAGCACAGTCTGGGCGGGCATTTCTTTACTTCTGCCACTCTTGACCAACCCTATTGAGGTACATGCAGCTAATGAAGAAGGTCTTGCCTATGTCGCGCAGAAGATCCGGTATTACACGAACATGGAGTCTCGTATACTCCGCGAGCAGGACGAAGCTTTGCCACCTGCCGACCAGCAACTATATACAGAACGCTTCATCGAGCTTTACCAAGCGATTATTGACTATCAGGCCCAGAGTGTCTTACGACTATTTAGGCGTCGATTCAAGAACTTCTTGAGAGATGCTACAAAATGGGACTCATGGGAGGACATGCTCAATAGAGTTAAGGAGTTAGGCGATAATCTCGAGAAAGAATCTCTGCATTCCAATTCTATTTCTAGCAGCACATCGCTAGCTGCTCTCACTAAGTGGGAGAAAGAGTCGTTTGAAGACAAATGTCTCCAGTGTTTCAATCGAGGAGACTATGTCTGGTACAAGAATCGCGTCGAAGACCGTGTCTCAGATACATGTCTTTGGTTCTTAAATCACACGAAGTACCACTCATGGTTGGAAGCCGAATCTGGCCCTCTCTTGGTCTCCGCCGATCCAGGTTGTGGCAAGTCTGTCCTCACAAAGTATCTTATTGATTCCAATTTTGGCTTCAGAGTTCCTATGGAGGCTGCGATATGCTACTTTTTCTTCAAGGAGGGTGACCAAAATACCATCGAGTTGGCCTTGTGTGCCCTGATCCATCAACTTCTCTGCCTGAGACCCAGATTAATGCACCACGCCGTCCAAAAGTATAAGCAAAAGGGGGATAAGCTCGCCAATGATTCCACTGCGCTATGGAGTATCCTACAAGCGGCCACTGCTGATCCCGAAGCCCGAACTGTTATCATTGTAATTGATGCTCTCGATGAATGTCTTCAAGATGAAACCAACATGGGAACCTTGGCGCAGAATATCCGAACACATTTCGAAAAAGGCCCCAAAACTCTCAAGATCTTGATGACCAGCCGGCCATACCAAAACACAACTCGACACATCCAGGAGCTTGAAGACCTATATACTAACATCCGTATACATGGAGAGGATGAATCTGAGCTCATACGTAAAGAAATCAATCTGGTTATCGGATACAGAATTAGCCGGATGAAGAAATTCAGCAACCATAGAGAACACCTGAAAGACAGATTGCTGAGCATCCCTCACCGAACATACCTTTGGGTATACCTAGTCTTCTCATACTTAGAAGCCTCCGACATCAAGAACACTGAAAAGGGGCTCGACGCAGCTATCCAAAACCTCCCCACCTCGGTGGAGGATGCGTATGAGAAGATTCTAAGCCGATCCAGAAAGCCGGAAACAACAAGGAAAGCGCTTTCTATCCTCCTTGGCGCGTACAGACCCCTCACTATCAGGGAAATGCAAGTCGCACTTGAAATGAACGTCGATATTACTTCCCTTGATCTGCTTGACCTGGAACCTGACGAGACTTTTTATCTCCGTCTCCGAGAGGTGTGTGGTCTATTTGTCACAAAGCACGACCAGAAGCTCTATTTCCTCCATCAGACTGCAAGGGAGTTTCTCCTCAATGCCTCCGCACCCACGCCTAGTCCAAGTTCTACCCTAAGATGGGCACACAATTTCAGTCTTCAACAAGCACATATGATCCTTGCGGAATCATGCGTACGGTATCTCGGGTGCCTTGATTCTCTCGCTTCCACCGACTTGGGAGCCATTACGCCCGAGACAGCCAACTTTCGGCAATACTCGGCCAATCACTGGCATGACCATTTCAGAGAGGCTGACGTCCCTGACGGCGCTGATATTGTATATTTGGCCACGAGAATATGTGAGTCGGGCACAACAGAAGGTTCGGTATGGCTCCCTTATTGGCGCGGGAGGTTTCCATATCATGTGAGTCCGGGCAACAATTCAAGTCTCACATTTGCATCAGCCTTCGGGCACGCCGCGATCGTTCGGCTGCTGCTTGTTACAGACACCCCGAAAATTGAACACGGTTCTATGGCATTACATTGTGCCGTGCGTTACGGCCGAGAAGAAATCGTAAAGCTGCTACTTGCTAGAGATGGTGTTGATGTTAATTTGCAAGATGAACATGGCATAACACCTTTGATGTGCGCTGTTGAATTTGGGCAGGAAACCCTGGTCAAGCTATTGCTTGCTACAGGTAGAGTTGGTGTTAACATACAAGACAAATTTAGCAGAACACCTTTAATGGAGGCTGTTAAATATAGAAAGGAAACCCTGGTTAAGCTGTTGCTTGCTACAGATGGTGTTGATGTTAATGTGCAAGATAAAGCGGGTTGGACATCTTTGATGTGGGCTACTAAAATTGGGCAGGAAACCAAGGTTAAGCTGCTACTTGCTACAGATGGCGTTGATGTTAATTTGCAAGATAAATATGGTGAAACACCTTTGATGGAGCCTGCTAAATATGGGCAGGAAACCCTAGTCAAGCTCTTGCTTGCTACAGATGGTGTTGACGTTAACTTGCAAGATAAATTTGGCAGAACACCTTTGATGGAGGCTGTTAAATATGGGCTGGAAACCCTAGTCAAGCTGTTGCTTGCTACAGATGGTGTTGACGTTAACTTGCAAGATAGAGATGGCAGAACACCTTTGATGGAGGCTGTTGTAGGTGAAAGTGAAACTATTGTCAGGCTATTGCTTGCTACGGATAGAGTTGATGTTAACTTGCAAGATAGAGATGGCAGCACACCTTTGATGGAGGCTGTTACATTCGGAAAGGAAACCACGGTCAAGCTGTTGCTTGCTCTAGATGGAGTTGATGTTAACTTGCAAGACAGGTATGACCGAACCCCTTTGATGGAGGCTACGGGCAGAGGCTACGAGGCCATTGTTAAGCTGCTCCTTGCCACAGATAGAGTTTATAGTGTCAAATGAGACTTCCATGAGTGGACGCCATTTCATCATGCTGTGACGTTACCATAGTTGAGTTGCTTTGAGGGCTAAACAGCCTAGTTGCTACCCACGATGAACATGGTAAACACCTTGTAGGAGACCTCAGTACGGCTGTGGTCCATACAACAGCTTGACAAACTCCCGTGAATCGTTCAGTACCCATTTGAAGACTTTTTAACATTGAAACTTCATGCTGCCTAATTCCTAGACCAATTTGGTAAGGATATCAAAAATGAAGCTAGCCTTCTTGGTATAAGGAGTTAGCACTACTGTATCTCAGCGGGGAACCTCGGCACGGCGCGGGTTGAGATCTGGGGTAAGCTCCATACCCCTAGAGTACACATCTACATCTACAAGCCAATTTACTTACACGCTTACATATTCAGTAACTTGACATAACAGAAAGAAGGCCATTATTCAATTGTACATCTATCTTAATTATTCAGCATCTTTGGTGAGGAAGCTACTGTGAAAACTGGGGAGAGAACTAGCTACGTGAGCTTGGTAGATAGTAAATCTTTACTAGGTACCGTCTCACTACACAAACGCAGATATTCACGTGGCAAAGGGTGCAATCACATCCCATTCAGCTTCAAGATGTCGGAACGTGTCTCTCAGCTCGCGGCCCAGCTGAATTATCCCAAGGGTATGCTAGCAGGCCAGACAGCGATCATCACAGGCAGCGGGCAGGGAATCGGGGCAGAAACAGCCAGGCTCTTCGCCAACGAGGGTGCGAAAGTCATTGTCACTGACATCGACGCTAGTAAGATCTTCCTTCAAAGTGACATGTCTATGAGCCGCCCACTTACACCCTCACAGCCAAAGCAGAAGCCGTAGCCGCCGAGATCAACAGCGCATCACCAGGCCGTGCGCTAGCAGTGCCAGGCGACGTGCTAGACACAGCGTACCAGGCCTCTCTGATCGAGAAGGCCGTAGCCTTCGGCAACGGCAAGCTGCACATCCTCGTGAACAACGCGGGGTACACGTGGGACGGGGTGATCCACAAGATGAGCGACGACCAATGGGACACGATCGTGAACCTGCACACGACGGCGCCCTTCAAGCTAGTGCGGGCCGCGGCGCCATACTTCCGCGTGCGCGACGGCGAGCCGCGGTGCATCGTGAACGTGTCCTCGACGAGCGGCGTCCACGGCAACGCCGGCCAGATCAACTACGCCATGGCGAAGGCGGGGGTCACAGGGATGACGAAGACGATTGCGAAGGAGTGGGGGCCGCGGTTTGGCGTGCGCGCGAACGCCGTGGCCTTTGGATTCATTGCTACGAGGCTGACACAGGCTAAGGAGAAAGGGGCCTTCGTGACGGGGCCGAAGGGCGAGAAGATCGTGGTGGGCATCCCGCAGGGCACGAAACAGCCGGAGCAGCAGGCTCATGCTGATATCCCGCTCCGGAGACCGGGGCAACCGTCTGAAGCTGCTGCTGCGATATTGGCGGTGGCTAGCCCGTTGTTTTCGTATGTGACGGGACAGACTATCATGGTTACTGGTGGGCGAAATATGTGAGCTTAGTGAATGAGGGGTTATCAGGTGAATTCTCTACATGATCTGGACTTAAGTGCGTGTTAAGCTGTGCGATGCGGGAGCTGACGTGTAAAATGTTTACGAAGTTGAGAAGCGCCATTCGGGGCCTATATAATAACTCCATAGAGCGATACATGCGCATGACAAGACCACCCGTAACGCCGGATCGCGCTAATGTCGATCTCTGTTCTCGTTTCCCTTTGCATACAAATTCCGACGACGTAAAGCATTCGTATTGAACAATCCTCATTCCCTTTATACCTTCAACCATAAGCCCAACACGCCCTTCGCATACTCGACAATCTCATCGCCACCGAGCTTCGATTCGCCGTACAGACGGTCAACGAAGCTGATAGGCACCTCGGCAACGGTGCAGCCCATGGCCTTGGCGCGCACCATCATCTCCATCTGGAAGGTATATCCCTTGCTCTCGGTGCTCTCGATGACCTTCTGCAGGACCGACTTCTTGTACAGGCGGAAGGAGCCGGTGAGATCGCTGACGCCGGGGCGCAGGACGGTGTCGGCGAAGAGGTTGGCGCCGCGGCTGACGAACTTGCGCTTCAGGTCCCAGCCGTAGACGCCGCCGTCGCCGGCGTACCGCGTGCCGGTGACGATGTCGTAGTTGGCCTCCTTCTGGCGCGCGATCATCTGGGGGATGAACTTGGGGTGGTGGCTGAAGTCGGCGTCCATGATGATGACGAAGTTGCCCGTGACGAATTGGAGGCCGTGGACGTACGCCGTGCCCAGACCTAGCTTTCCTGATCGCGTCTTCAGCACCACGTGGGGTGCGTATGCCTTGACGAGCTGTTGGGCGACTACTTGTGTTCCATCGGGCGAGCCGTCGTCGACGATTACGAGTTCCCAGTCTAGGTTTCTGTAGATTGAGACATGATATTAGCCGTGGTCCATCTATATACATAGGTGGCTTGGGGTGTTCGGGTAGGTTGATAGACGCACTGCTCGGTGAACGTGCGGTTAAGCAGCCAGGTCACGATGGGCAGGTTGCGTCGCTCATTGTATGTTGGCAGAATGACTGAGTACTTGTCGCTCGAGGCGGTGGGCTTGGTCGGGGCCATTGCAATTAATGGAGATATGGTTGATTATTAAAAGAGATATAGAAAACCGGCAAAGGAATTGCTTGAACTAGAAGCGGGAGTGTTATTGTCTTGAAGGAATGTACTGAAGTTGGTGATAGCAAGATGAATGGCGAGCTTGAAGTGGACACGGTCTGAACGACGTGATAAGGCTGAAGCAAAAAGGTACCTGAATACCCAGGTACATGTACCGGTACCTCAGTACCTGTACCCCACGAGAGCAAACAGGGGGGGTGGAATAGTGGTAGAGGTGGGGAGCAATCTGCCCCTATTTGGCCAACTCTAGATGGCAGCAGTTATTACTGTTGGATTATTACTATGTACCTGCACCTCGGCACTTGATTATCAACTGATTCTCAACTGGAGTTTCATTGTTTTAGTGCTTGCTCGTCACCGAGTTTCGGAGTTGCCTTCTATGTACATATTGGGATTCCATGATGACTTCAAATTGGAGAGCAGCCTTCATCCTGCCACTCACACGCTCCTTTAGCATACACTCGCTAAACTGATCCTTTCGTTGATCTGATTGACTTTTTTTTTTTTTTGATGGAATCAGTGACTGATTGCCTCAGAAGTGTGAATTATCTGGCTATTTCTGAATGAGACGGATTCAGTTGTCCCATAATGCCACTCTATCCACTTCAACACGCTCTTAACACCATGTAGGTACCTGACTAAACCCTCACCAAGTATAACAAAATATTAGGAAGTATAGAGCGAGTGTAGTATAATCACTCATAGGGAAGAAATGATGCTGCATACGACTGTATCTCCTGGTGTCATGCACCATGACACGTACCCAAAACCAGATAAAACGCAGCCCAGCCGTAAATGTCCAGCTACCTAAATTAACTCATCGGAGATGACGCCGTAAAATCGATACACCCAAGGATGTCACTGTACATATTCTCTGTCAGATAAGATGTTTCCACATCTACCTGGGATAGGAAAAAGGTTGTAAGCGGGCAAAAGTTGCTGCGCTCAGCCAATGCTAATCTGAGGGAGTTGATCGAGTCTAGTACCAAGGCATCGGCCAGTAAACTGGGCGAGTCACCGAATGACTCAAAGTTCCCCCCCACAGTGGTAGGTGTGATGATCGGATCACCGACACTTATAAAATCGTTATGATAGACCGAAAGATCGCTGTTTTGCTGAAAGTGTGCGACTGGGTAGGTCTCCCCCAAGGCAATGCGCTGCTGACGCTGTAGAAGTGACCTTAAAGCGACGTACAGTGCCCAACTACCAGTGATTGTAGCCCAGCAGTCTTGGGATAATGTTCGAACCTGAACTATCTTGCTGATGTGACACGCGTGCTGGACGGCCCTTTCTTCGGCGGACCAGGCGCTTTTGAAATTCTGGACAGTCAACTCATGCCTTCTCCTTCTTGCTGCATCGTGGAGTACTATGGAAAAGGCATTGAGTAGCACGTCTATCACTGGCTCAATTTCGATCGCGTCTTGTGCCAAGGTGGTAATATAGCCAATAGCGCCGTGGATTTTCTGGTGATTGGTCCAGAAGTTGTAAGGTGGAAGTATTGTGTCCTCATAAGTAGCACGAATGTGGGACATAATCCTGGGAAGAATAACACCACAAGCGCACATGGCTTCATGCACAGTCAGCCTACGCGGCGCCTTTCTGCTGAAGAGGTGGGCCATAGTTAGTGGTGACAGGTCTGCAAACCCGGAGACATGGAAATCCTGGGTAGGAAGTGGCATTTTTGAAGAAATCTGGGGGTATTGAGAGTTAGCTGATTGATATACGTGACGTTACAAGCCAGGCGAAATATGTATTGGAACCTTACTTCAGAGCCAGCCGTGGTGCCAATCATTCTGCCACTTAACGAAAAGAATCCGGTGAGTGCAGTGGTGGCCCAGAGAGCTGCATGCACATCGTCGATATTCTCGTCGGGAAATTGCGAGAACGGCGGGGAAGTGTCGAGGAAGTGAAGCTTAAGAGAATCCGCAATCCAAACTGCGCGGCTCACAGTGCTCCATGCCTGACAAAATCGAGAACAGCGTAGTTCATACAGTCCGAGTAGTACAGTAACTTGGAGTACACGGAGAGATGGGGAGTGTGATGACTGATATAGTTCATGCAGACCCATAGCCCTCTTGGCAGCCTCGTACATAAATTGCCCCTGACTAGACACAGGCTCATCGAGTTCCGCATTTGCCATGTGCCAAGCAGTGCACTCGGGAGACGACGATATCGAGAGAGCGCAGATGGCGTACCTAAGAGCCACACATTCGTTCGAAGATTCAAGCATCAAGGAAGAAATTCGTGACGTGTCCTGAAACACAAAGAATGGCCCCCGACAATGCTCGAAGTATATATAAACTCTTTCCCATGTCGGATATTTGAGTAAGGTATCTCTCTGTGTTTGAAGGAACGGCATCGTTACTTACAGCTTCTCCACTACGCTGGGAGAAAGTTCGACGTCCGGTGTACTCGCGGCGCTCGCGATATTTAAAGTATGAGTAGAGTCATTGAATAACAAGCCCTCCATGCCTCCAGGCGCTGAAATCTGAGGAAAGGCATCGGTCATGATACTGCTACTGCTACTGTTGCTGCTGCTGCTGCTTCGCTGCTGTATCTGAATATCTTGTTGAGCCCCTGGGTGCAAAAGAGTATCGGAATCGACGTTGCAAGATGGTGAAGCCCCCTCGAGCCCAAATGAGCTCTCATGATCTGGCCTGCTATCTTCTCTTGGTGGGTTGGTCGTGTAATGAAGCGTGTTGGCTTCTCGGGCAAAGAATCAGATATTGGCCTAGTCAAGTCTATGAGGCTTTCAACTAAAGTAAGAAATAGGTTCTCACACTGGCTAAACTTTCTGTTCTGTGGTGCTGGCATCTCGTAGACACAGTCCCCAACAACACCGCCGCTAGCACATCGCCTGCAACAGGGCATTCGGCCATCACACTTAACTTTTCGTTGTCGACACTTTTGGCAAGCTATGTGGCGCTTGAAGCCCTCCATTCTGATAGTTGAAGCCGTCCCGAGTATTGAACTAGTCAGACGATATCTTGCGCGGCGGGAGATGTTCAAGGGCAGAAATTACCATCACGCCCGTACAGAGAGGGAGCTTTGGTAGCTACATATACTGAGCCTTGGGGTTTTTGTTGACCCACGACCATTGGCTCGTCAACGTGGACGTCACCTCTCGGCCCTGTTGTCGATTATCCTGTTACTGGTCGGCTTCTTCGTTCGGGTTTCACGGAACTAGCTGAGTACGTGCCGGTTTACAGATAAACCAACTCCAGCAGCGGTGCCGTGATGACGGAGCTTGGCGCGCATATTGAGATCATATTGGAACCACATAGCTGGGTAACTCCGTCCCTACTAGCCCTACTAGCCCGAGGGTAGCTAAGCCTTTCCCAGTAATTTTCAGTGGCAGTTTGCTCGGCAGGTAATGGATTATTCCTTGATCAGTCTCGGTCTAGATAGCTGCTCGCGGCGCAGCCGCGGCGGCACAGCAGTCGGCACCCCACTGATATACTTATGCAGCCTTCCAAGTTTGATCCAAGTGCCGAGTAGGTAGGGATTCGGAACTGTGCTTCGTAGGTAAGCTTGCAGGTATTGGATGTTCCAACTGTAACCTTCGTAAAGCAGAAGATCCGGTCCACGAAATAGGTAGAGCAGAGTAGAGGAATCCCCCACCGTACCTGCCACTTCACTCCACTCACTACCTAGGTAGGTAGGTACCTGGGTAGTGATTACTCAATACCTACAAGGGCCCAACGGGTCAAACTTCTTCCTCTTCCAATCAACCAATTCTCTCTCTCTACTACCTCTCCCTACCACCTCCACAGGCCATTGTCCATGTCTTTATTCTACCTGAAGTAGATGGTAGTTGACCGACCTTACTGACATTGATCAGAAAAAAGACAATTAATCTAATATAATCGCCTCTAATCTCCTCTAATCTCATCTAATCGCCCCAATTCGAATGCATCATATTATCTTTTGGAAGAAGATGGATTGCAGTGGTGGATGTGTGACTTGGCATTTGCTGTTATCCATGATGCTATTGTTGGTCCACCTGCATTCGTTCATACATATACCTTGGTAGGTGCGTCTACCGGTGCGTAAACCGCCATGTCACCCTGCCTGACGCGTATTCCGTCTTCATCGCCAGACAACAGAAGATACCATATCATCAAAGCTCATGCTACGCCCTCATCAACACCAAGACTTTCAAGCCGGCAAATGGAAATCGGAAGAAACGCTCCTAAGACTATCCGTAGGCGGCGGGGCAGCTCTAGGAGCAAGACAGGTACGCGCACGGCGGGTGTGCTATCATATTCTCTACCCCAGGTCACAGGCTAACAAAGGACGGACATGTAGGATGGTGAGCAAGATATTTCGTGCAATAGATGGCGACTCATATCAAGAGCAGTTCGACTTGCAAGGCAAGACACACTCGGTGCGATGGGCAAACCCCCACATGTAGCAATTGCGAGAGGCTTTCCCTACAATGCCGACCATCCGAGCTGATTATTCACTCTACCTGGAGCAGCGCCATCCCGGCCGCATCTGCAGCCCATGAAACCAGTATGTCTGCCGGGCGAACTATCGTATCTAGCCCAGGCACGAAACAAGAAAGGCCCATTCAACTTTCCTCTAGAGGATTGGACTTGCTGACGTCGTTCGGCGGCGATCCCCCTTCCGCGGAACCCCGCTTGTCTACATCACCCGTCACGTCTGTTTCCGTTGGTTTGGGGAACGAGACGGCTTATCTGCTACATACCTTTTGTAGTGGCTTGGCTACGTGGATGGACCTCTTTGACTTCAACCTTTCGTATCAGCGGGATGTATGCCGGCGGGCCCTCCAATCACGCCTCGTGCTACACTGCATTTGTGCTTTCGTAGCTAAGCATCTTTCTCTGCTTCCCGATGGGGCAATGTGGCAGCCCATTGCCTCTTGTTATTATGGCGAGGTTTGTAGTAGCTTTTTCTTCTCCCAACCTCCAGCCCTAAAGTTGTGTAGTAGGCATTTTAGCACAACGGGCTTGTTGCTGACTAGAGAGATCATTTGGATGGGGCCTAGGCACTTCAGCGACTCATCACTGCCCTAAATCTTCCAGGGCCAGAAAATGGCAGCGATGAACTTGTTGCATCGATACTGCTCGGGAGTTACGAGGTATTATCCGCATCGCGAGAACCACACTATTCGCATTATCAAGGATCACTTGATTTGATCCGGAGTCGGAATATCAATGCTGCAACCACTGGTCTAGACAGAGCGAACTTTTTCATATATGTGCGCCACGACATCTCTATAGCTTTAGCCAGAAGACAACCTCTCCAGCTGGATCCAGCCGCCTGGGCCATGCCACCGCTACCATCGGCGAGCGTGAGCGAAGGTGAGATGGGAAATCATCTTTTGTGGATCACTGGTAGGACGATCAATCTCATCTACGGCAATGATGCGACATGCTCCCTTCGACAGTCACTGATCGACATGGTCGATGAATGGTACAGCAGAGCGACTGAGACGCTTCGAGGATTCCCGTATGGGGATGAGGATGAGGATGGGTTACGGAAACTCTTTTTCGCCATTCCCGCGGCCGGTAAGCTCTTCTACCCCTGCGAACTCTTTCCTTGACTCGTAAGACATGTTTGATGGTTAGCTATACTAAATCACCATCTAGCAGCAGCCATAACGTGGTATCATTTGACTCGGATCCTGTTACTAGCAGAGCCAGAATTGCTTCATGCGGATTTAGATCAAAATGTATAATCCTTTATCTGTCTTTCATCCTCATGTCCAGCAAAGAGTTGTGATGCTTTGCTGACAACGACCACAGGTCCAGCATCATGTTAAATCCATATTGGCCATTGCAGCCTCGAAAATACCAGCAGGCGTTCTTAGCTTTGTGATCCTACCTGTATACTTTGGTATAGCCCGGAATCTCTTGGAATGCGTCAATACCTATGCGCTGCTAACGTTGTCTCAGCAGGCAAGCACGCTGTCAACATTTCAAAAAAGCTAAGAGCCTACATAATGCTTAAGGATATCCAGAGTCAAATAGGACAAAGTACTCAAGAACAGAGACAATCAATGAGCCAATTATTGAGCGTGAAGCTTGAATAAGCATTATCCTGAGTTCAATATTATGGGCGAAAGTAAATAAGTAGAGAGGTACAATACACCCAGTACAATTCTTTTCCTCTTCCATCTACGAAAGCATGCTCTACCATGGCGTATCAATAATCATGCTAACCATAGTCTCCTGATAGATACCGCCTTTAGCAAAATCTGTACACCGAAAAGTCAACTATCGGGTAACTCCTGTACTGCTAAAGGACAATTTCACAGCATTTTTACTGGGGCTCTTGGGAAGGATGCTGCATCCCGACGCCAAACCTTGAGAGGCAGCCTTAGTGGCCAAAGGTTAAACCACTCCTCGAATTCCATGTCCCATTTCGGCTGCTTCAAGGCGAAGTCGTAATGATAGACGATGGTAGCTATACACATTGCTTGCATTAGGATGGATAGGTTACGGCCAATGCAACCGCGTGTGCCCGCGCTGAAGGGGATGAAAATGGATCGCATATCACGCAAGCTGTCCGAACCCCTTGCCAGCCACCGTGAAGGGTTGAACGTTGTTGGGTCTGGGAAAACGCATGGATCACGGTGCGCTGTATATGCCGCGATTGATACATTTGTATCTGGTGGTATCACCTCGCCGTCAATGATTATGCTAGCGTCAGGTGGTGTGCGCCGAATCAACTCGGTTGCGACAGGCGGGGCTAAACGCATAGCTTCATCAATACAAGCGCGCAGATACGGGAGATTTTTAACCTTGGACCACGGCGCGACTTCCACGTCAGGTGATAACACACTGTCAAGTTCCGCCCGCAACTGCGAGAATGTGTGCGGATAGCGCACAAGGTAATACAGCGTCATGGAGATCGATACAGCCTGAGTGTGGATGTCAATAGGAGGGTACGAAGAGCGTTGACTTCGAGACTTACTGGCCCATCTGTCCCAGCTCCCACTTGATAAATTAACAGAGAATTAATAGACCGGTCTCTAGTTTCTGGGGTATAAATACTCACCAGCTTGTTCCACTTCAGCAATGCGGTCAGCTGTCGTTATTGCAGCCTCGTTCCCTTTCCAATCCTCTAGCATTGGCTGAAACAGGTCGTTAAGCTCCTCGCCCTTGGCGTGACGCTGGATACGCTCTTTCGTAAGCGCTTCCATTGCATCATGGAATTTTCCCCCACTCTGCCAGTTGTCTGCATACGTTCTTGAAACCCAACCAGTCAAGCGTTGCCAAAGAGGGAATCTCTTTACGTCCCCTGCTCCAGGTTAGCGAACACCATCTTTGGCCATGCAGGGAACCAAGAACCGTATTAACATACAGATGACCGCTGCTGCAGCTCGCTGTGACGCATGCACATTGTGGATGGACCGTACTGCCTGATCTTTTCCGTCTGCATCCTTGAAATAGATATAGTCGGTTCCACTACGGAGAAACAACACGTCCTTGCTGAGCATGACCTTGATGACACTCTCGACCGAGAAGAGAAAGATCCAATGAACGGCGTCAAATAGGTCCTGACCTCGCGGGCCGGTACATCGTATATCTATTTGGGCCATGAGAGCCGTGATCGAGTCGGCAACCTTGGGCTCCCAGACGTCGGCGTGCTTTGGCGCGTAAGCTGAAGCCACCATGCGGCGCCGTGCCGAGTGGAAAGCCTTGTCACTGATATTGTTGAGATTGGCGCCTGTTTGGGAGAGGAGATCGTAAGTGGCAGCCTTGCGGCATCTCGAGGTATACCCATAGATATCCTTGACAGCTTGCGAACGACCAAACGCCAGCCAGTTCGGCGCGATACGCAGCACTGGATTTGTTTTGAGTGCCTCGTGTAGGCGCTTGCTATGGATGTCCTTTTGCGTACGGCTACATTCCCATCCATAGGCGAGGGGCGTCAGCCCTGAAGCCCAATTTTGGGTAGGATACTTTCGAAACCCTTTGTCATCCCGTAGATACACGACGAAGAGCCGGAGGAGCATAATTGCCGGAGATAAGAACAGAAAGGCGGTAAAGAGGATTACCGTGTCTTTCAGGGTCGACATCGTGGCAGGCACTAGGTAGTGTTTGAAATCTTGACTATTTAGGAAATGTGTAGCAGAGAACAGGTTAGTTGGTGTCTTGAAGCTAGTTAACTAGATCGTGAACGAGAATATGGTTGTTATTGCACTTTCTTGAAGTAGACTTAAATATTCATTGTTGAGAAACCATTTTTATTTATACAGCCCGACTCAATGCGTCAGACAGAGTTTCCAGGCTTATCTAACTGTGTCTATAATTACATACCTAGAACAATTGACTCCCCAACCTCGTTAGCGAAGCGGTGGACCTGATGTGGTCCTTTCCATATGGTAGTTTGCCTTTTGCGAACGTGCCGTGGGCTGACTTGCGGCGATCTTGAAATATGAGCCTTCAGCAGAGGCCGTTTGTGGTTGGCAGTATACGTAGGTTGTGAATTGGTGTGGCGGAGTGCAATGCCAGCAGTCGTCGAAGCGTAGGGCTCTCCCAGACTTGGATATTTTAGGAAATTTTCACGACACACGTGAGTATTACACGCTTCCATATTCTCTCCAAGAGCGGCAATTCTTACGATGATAGAAAGCCTGCAATTCAGGGCTTTCGTGAGCTGGCCACAGCCGGGCCGGATGAGAAAGGAAGGAAGATTTGTTATATGTAGGTAGACAGCCAGCGGTACCAACAGATCAAACATGTGGTAGATACGGTACCGAAGTAAGCTCACCGAAGGTACCGTATTTTACGCGCGTGTCGATAGCGACACACCGATGTGATTGCCTCTCGAAACCTGCATCCCGGAGCGGGCCCGGCTCGGCTGCACTAGATAGGTATATAACACGAGGCGCCACAACTCTGCATCTGACGTGCAGGGTGGTTGATCTCGTTCGTCGCTGATGACGGCGCTCAATCCCAGAATGGCAATTTTGACGCGTCTATGGACTATGACGTATCACGGTCCTTCTAAATGGCTGCTGTTGCTTTCTTTCAGGTTGCAGCCGCTGGATCTACCTGTCTCCTTCTTTTGTTCCATTGCTTTTCATTCGCTTCCTCTCTTCCCCAATAATCACAGTCTCAGACCAACCAGCTTCGTCGGTCCAAAACACAATGCCACTCTACAACGTGCTCTCATCACTTCGTCGCTTCTCGAAAGCACGATATGCAACAGCTAGTATACTCTGCTCCCTTGGGGGTTTCCTTCTGGGGTAAGTGACCTGCATTTCACGCGATGCAAGTGGTCTTCGCTGATACTACGCTTCACTGCGACAGTCTGGACACCAGTATTATAGGACCCGTGACGGTCATGGACAGTTTCGTGCATCAGTTCGGCACGTTTTCAGCTGCCGTGCATGGTATCTTGGTCTCCAGCATTCTTCTCAGCGCGGCCGTCAGCTCCTTTTTCGCCGGTCGACCAGCCGACGTCTGGGGTCGTCCCTACGCCATGGCCTTCGGTGCTGCTATCTTCACCCTTGGAGCTGCACTCCAAGCTGGTGCAGTGAATCTAGCAGTTTTTGCCACTGGCCGCGTTATCGAGGGCATCGGCTACGGTCTCTACTTTGGCACTCAGACCGTCTACATCTGTGAGATCGCACCACCACGTGTCCGCGGCCCACTCACCTCAGGTCCGCAGTTCATGACATGCTTGGCACTCGTTGTTGGCTACTTTGTCAGCTTTGCCAGCATCAACATCCCCGGTTCTCTATCTTGGCGACTGCCTTTCATCATCACAGCCACCATCGGTGTGGTTTATGTCTTGATCAACCTTTACCTCTTGCCTGAGTCGCCGCGCTGGTTGCTCCTCCACGGTCGCCAGACCGAAGCCGATAGAGTCTGGGATAAGCTTGGGGTAAAAATAGATGATCGTGAAGCCGAGGGCGTCGAGTTAGACAATCGTACATCTGACGCCCCTATCGAGAACACAATCGGCGGCTCGCAAATTTTTACTGGAGTTGCACGTGACGGCGAAAAGAAACATGCAACCTTCCGCGACCTTTGGTCCCCCGACGTGCGAAAACGTACTTTTCTCTCCGTCTTCATGATGGGATTTCTGCAATTGTGTGGCATTGATGCAGTGCTTTACGTAGGTCGCTCTTATCATATGACCTGCGCATGCTTGCTTACATTCCTTGACTTATAAGTACGCCCCGTTACTCTTTCAACAAGCAGGCCTCCAGAGTCAGCAAGCCTCCTTCTTGGTATGGATATATCCCAGACTACACCCACCTATTGAGCTAATCCCACCGGTCTCGCTAGGCCTCAGGCGTCTCCGCTATAGTCATCGTTGCTTCCAGCATCCCCGCCACCCTCTTCGCGGACAGATGGGGCCGCAGAGCAAGCACCCTCTTGGGTGGAGTTGGTCTCACAACCACCATGTTCTTGATCGGTGGACTTTATGCGGGCCATGCTGTTCATCCAACGCATGGAGCCGCTCGCTGGGTTGTTATTGTCACCATCTATATCTATTGCATCGTGCAGGCAACGACGTGGGGCATTAGCATTAAAGTCTGGGCTCCTGAGATCCAACCTCACCGGTATGTGAAAATGCTCTATCCTCAGAGTCTAAGCCATTCTCTCCTATTCGCTCTATGTACTCGTCTCAAAGCTGACTCTACTTGCAGTGAGTTCTTCTCTACTCTCTACGCGTGCCATTGACGTGGGGGCCTTAGTATACGCATGATGGTCGGTGTTACTAACAGGCAGAATATAGATACCCGGGCACGGGCCACAAGTTTGGCATACGGTCCGTATCTCCCCATATCTCAATCATTATCCAGTGTTCAAATTCGAGTTGTCTCCTCGCTGACTCATGTTCTGAAACAGGAAGCAACTGGGTTTGCAACTTTTTTGTAGCCCTGATCTCTCCAATCCTTCTAGACGCGAGTTCCTCGGCTGCTTACTTTTTATTTGGGGGTAGCACTGCCTTGGCCACCGTTGTCTGTTACTATTACATGGTGGAGACTAAAGGTAAATTTTTTGATGAAATTGAGAGGGCTTTCAGGAAGCAAAAGACTACTAGCTCCAAGGCTGAACGAGTGATGTGAAGAGCTGCAAGCCGCCGGCCAGTATCTAGACTAGAACTTAAGCAGCGCGTTCACACGGCTCAGGTACAATTTGTCGAACAATAGAGGGGGTTATCAAAGCTAAGAAGCATGGATACGGATGATCTTAATGCTGTATCAGTTGCGAGAGATGGTTTATGGATAGGGCCGTTTTGTATTTAAACTAATAACAATACGGAACCGAATCTGGAAAAAGTGCTCCATTGCAATGCAGCGACGTCGTTGATAATGAAACGCAAAAGTCAACGCTAATGCCTCTTTGGCACTATTATCGCAATATTTCAGCAGTTGATGATATCTGACTAGAGATAAAACGGAGAAACGAACGCCTGTCATACGACCATGCAGAAATGATTTGTATTGGACATAGCTGGCGCTTTTTTGAATGTGTCTAGGTACGAGCCAAGAATCCCCAAGACCCCCTATTCTAGCATGCTGGGAAAAGGGGGACAAGTACAGCGGGCTCGTAGTGGAAATCTGACATACGCCGCTATATTTATAGTAGTCGGAACCACTAAGCTCACTATAACTGTAGGGCTCATCTGTTATCAATATAGAAGCTAAAGCTATTGTAAAAGCTAGGTAGGTATTATCATCTATAGCTATTGCCATCCCTACCTAGTTGTTGCGAGGGCTTTTACAAGGGTCATCCACTGCAGGTTTATAGATGTAGTAGCTGTGTTAAGAGGAGTACATGTGATCCCATTGGATTATCTAGAAGTCTAAGTTACAGTACAGTTATCTGGCTGGATGAAGGTCTTATATACAGTTCCCCAGCGTTCCAGTGTGTGGATCGCAAGTATCACCACCTTCCTTTTCTGACAAGCTGTACAAAGATTCAACAAGTACTTTAGCAACTTTACGTTTGAATGAACACTTATCTACACCATGAACTTAGCGGCTAGTATTGCTATAAAGTTAGCAGATTATGCTGAAATTCTAAATCGTCGGTGCGCAATGGCACCAGGGGCCCTTCATAGACAAAGGGCTTATCTCTACTATCTCTGATGCGGCCCGACCCTGATTTATTCCTCAATTTCCCGGCTCTCTTCATTCTATTCAAATTCCGTCGTTAATTCTTTTCCTTGCGCGTGGCTAGGTACTCGTCTAGCACATTGGCATAGTCGCTCGGCCCGTGGGGGGCCAGGAAGTTCGCCAAAAGACCGCTTTTACGCTGGGTTGTGACACCCAGATCCTTCAAGAGACGGTCAAGATATGGAATCCAGTCAAATAGTGCGTATGGGTACCTCTCGCCGACTCCCATGTATCGTTTCCGTGTCCAAGCGTTCCACTCGGCCACCTCTTTAACCATGTGATCCTCTGGTGGTAGGGCGACCTCTCCAAGTAGGTACGCCACAGCCCACAGGCACTGGATAGCCGAGATGGTTGGTGTTTGTGTTGTATGGATCTGTCCGAGAATAACAATTGAGCTGTCTTTCGCGGTGGAAATGGGGACACATCTGTTGTAAAGTCGCCAACGGCGCCTGGTAATAAGGCGATTCGGGCTGCGTATTCCCAAGTCTTTCGGTCCAGAGGCTAAAAGGGGCAGCTGCCGAGCGACCACGGAGTCGGCAGTTTCATCATGTACAAGCCAATTGTCCGTTGCAGAAGAAGCTTTCGTGGCGCTCGGGACTCCATACCGAGGAATACCCAGCTCCTCTTTCATCGCTTCCGAAAAGAAGCTGAAGTGATCACCCCAACCAGTGCAGTATATGACGCGATCTGCATCAATCCGCCTTCCAGATCGCAACAATGCCCCAGAATCATCTACGATGTCGACGTTATCACGGACAATCGTGATATCTCCTTCCTTCAGCGTGCTCCAGAAATCACCCATAGTGATCAAACCAATTGAGCTATCGCACCAGAAGCAACTGCTCGTAGTACCATATTAGTGCCATGCTCTAGGCTACCAGAGGAGAATGTTTCATACCTGGCATCTTGTACGTCGGGTCTGAGCCCTTCTACACTCCCTGCATTTCCTCCGAACCCAGCTGCCTTTTCAGCCCTACCAGTGATGAAGTTCCAGTGTGCTTTGGTAATCCAGCGTCCCAGAACTGTCCTATGAAAAAATCCGCCCAGCCATGAATATGTTGTCATGAGTGAAGGACTCAGATAGCTTGTTAAACGATTGCAGCTAAGAGTGATTGTGTTCTTGATGTAAAACAGGGTCAATCACCTACCAAGAAGGAAAGAGTTTGAAGTTTGTGGAAGAGTGTTACTCACCATCCCGAGTACTTCAGATGGCATGATTGGCATTGGTCCAGAACCATCGGGGCGGATGACCCTTCAGAAAATGCTTTAGTTCAAATGACGGTTTTGGCACACCATTCGAGAGGGACTGTCACACATACCACGTAACTTTCTTCCCCATCGTACAAAGTTGATACACAACATCATAAGCAGATTTAGCTGCGCCCACAATGAGAAAGTGTTGTGCCATATTACTCGAAAAATCTTGCGCGTTGCGAGCAATGTCAAGACTATGGATCACGGGTATGGAACCTTCCATGGTTTTGAAAGAGGGCGAGTTTTTGACTGATGTCACGCCGGTTGCGATGATCAGTTTGGTTGACTCAACGGATCGCCCGTTTACCGTTAGTTTCCAGCCTCTATCGCAACGCTCAACCTCGGAAACCCAGCTCTTAAAGTATATTCGACGTTTTAGATCATGGTCACTGGCGAAGCGATCGAGGTAGTTAAAAATCATGGTCCCCGACACAAGATTATGATCTGTTGCACCATCTTTGGGCATGGGAGTGCCGGGATAGTTCTAGTGTCATGAATTAGTGCGCGTTTGACCTATTTAGTGACTTTTATTCTAACTCACAAAGTATCCGTACTCAACCTGAGCTACTAGATTCGGATAAATTCGTTCTTTGCTCCAGGTACCGCCAACACTGTTGTCTCGCTCGAAGATTGCAACCTTGGCGTCTGGATCCAATCTTAAATAGGTTTGAGCAGCTTTAAGACCGTAGAAGCCTGTATGAACTTGAGTCAGTTATAATTCCAGTAGTCGTGCTTTCAAGTGTGAATACTGGCCTGCTCCGATGATGGCGACGTCCAAAACGGACGGGATGTCTTCCGTAGTAGAAGTCATTGTGGATAAGTTCAAAGTACTAGTAGTTGTAGCGTAAAAGAACTGAATGTTTTGAATATGCTCAAAGCTGCTTCATGAAACTAGAACTTACCTGTCTGTGCTTTTGACTCTTGCCGAACAGTCCTAAGGTAAACCTGCTTGTATGAATTTAGTGTTGCTTATTCACGAATCCACCCGCAGCTCGGGCCGACATCATGATTTCTGAAATATTCCCTCGGAAGCATGAGACCCCATGCACACCGAGCCTTGCATAGAGGGCACTTAACATAAGCAGGGGCAAGTCTTCGGAGTTCTAGAATAGGTAATTTCTAAGAGCGTAGAAGACGTCACTGGTATTCTTGAATGTGTTCCGCTTTCAGGTTTCGATGCTCTTTGAAGTAGTGGAGCACGACGATCAGGATCGAGCTCGCTGCTTGGAGAACATAGTTACACCGGCGTCGTATCTGAAGCTCGGTTCCAAGTGTAGTTTAAAAGGTAAGTTGCAATCAAAAATTCTTCTTTGCGAGGCCAGCTAATCACCAAATATTCACCGCTCACTAAAAAGACAATTTATATGGTGGCGCGAGAATCAAATTCTCATTAACGACTTCAAATCTTATAAGATGCCTTTGATCAAAGAAGACAACTCCACGCTGGAGCCAATTGCAATTGTTGGAATGGGTAAGATGATCAATAATTATTTGTCCATTGTTGTGCTAACAGTAGAGTAGCTTGTCGCCTACCGGGCGACATTGATGGCGCTTCCAAGTTCTGGGACATGCTCATAGAACAAAGATCAGTTCGCACACCACGTGTGCCCAGCAATCGATTCAATATTGATGCCCACTTTCATCCCGACCTTGCTCGCCCTGGCTCTTTCACAGCCTTAGGTGGCTATTTTCTTGACGGCAACCTTGAAGATTTCGACTGTACCTTCTTCAACATCACTCCGGTTGAGGCCCAATGGCTTGACCCACAGCAACGGAAGATGCTGGAAGTGTGCTATGAGTGTTTTGAGAACGCCGGTCTTCGGCTGGACCAGGTGGCTGGTTCTAACACGGCAGTCTATGCTGCTACATTTACTAGCGACTACCAGCAAATGTCGATCTTCGACCGTGATTTTCGACACAACTACGCAGCAACTGGTGTTGATGTTGGTATCATCAGCAACAGAATCAACAATGCATTCAACCTGAACGGACCAAGCTTCACAATTAACACTGCCTGCTCATCCTCAGTATACGCTATCCATAGCGCCTGCCATTCTCTGCGCTCGCGCGACTGCGAAGCTGCACTCGTTGGTGGTGTCAACCTGATACTTATCGTTGTAAGTTCAACTATCTTTGCTCAGGTATCGATAGGGTAGAAAGACACTTGTAAGAACTTTCTGGGATACTGATAGAAATGGCCTTTAGGATCAGCATATGAATACGGCGAAGCTAGGTGTACTTTCGCCAACATCCGAGTCCGTATTCCCACGTCCCCTTCAAATGGGATTTGACTTACACTGACGTTGTTTTCGTAGGTGTCACACATTCGACGAGTCTGCAGATGGATACGGACGTGCTGAAGGAGTGGGCGCCATCTACCTCAAGCGTCTTTCAGATGCCATTCGGGACAGAGATGTCATCCGGTAAGATCAATCCTAGCGAGCTTTAACTTGAACAAGCCTGATTGTGTATATATTCCCCATTCGCTAGCGGAGTCATAAGATCATCCGCCGTCAACACAAATGGGAAGGTCGAAGGCATGGGAATTACATTTCCCAATGTTTTGGGACAGGAACGAGTTTTGCGCCACGCCTACGAAAGAGCAAATCTTGACCCAAACAGAACAGCATATCTTGAGTGCCATGGTACAGGTACCCCATCAGGTGAGTTGTTTTCAAGCACAAGACAGCATAGACCGTTGGGGGCTCTAAACGATAATTTGTTCTAGGTGATCCTATTGAAGTCCGAGCAGTCGCCAATGGAATGAATGACAGCCGAAGCCTGGAGAAGCCACTTATACTTGGGGCAGTCAAATCGAACATCGGGCATTCTGAAGCTGTAAGTTTCTCTGAGTTGCATGACATTTCAGTTCTGATTCATGTGTCACATTTCTTATCACCTGCAACGCTGCCCAAGCACACCGTCTTTTCCACGCCACTAATGGGCTACTGAAATAGGCTTCCGGTATATTCGCTACAATGAAGGTCGCACTTTCCACAGAGAAATCAAAAATTCCAGGCGTCCATGGTTTCCGTAAATTGAATCCTAATATTAAGGATAAAGAATGGAACATCAAAATTGCCACAGAGCTTATGGAATGGCCGGAGGGATTCGATGAGCGCAGAGGTAGCGTAAGCTCTTTTGGATACGGCGGGACCAACGCGCATCTAGTCATCGAGTCAATCGAAACGCTATGCCCGTGGTACGAACATGGTCATCCAAAAGTGTCTGCTAAATACAGTTACGACCTCGGAGACCGGCCATTTTTGATCACCATGAGTGCTCACGATAGGAAGACACTGACAAACAATATCCGCAGCCATCAGCCCATTGCCGGTGAATATCACCTACCCGACCTCGCGTATACCTTAAATTGTCGGAGAAGTCGCTTTGCTGAGAGAGGTTATACCATAGCCTTCCCGGGGCGAGAGCCCGAGTCATTTGAACTTGACAGCTTCAGGTTCGGCTCGGTAGCAAGCGACCCATCCAAGGTTGGCTTCGTATTTACCGGACAAGGCGCACAATGGGCCCGTATGGGCTATGAAGCAATGCAATTCTTCCCGCAATTTGCCGAGACCATCGAGTCCCTTGACAGGGTGCTGCTCCGTGCTAGCCCAAGGCCAACCTGGAGCCTCAAAGCCTTGCTTTCTTGTCCTGAAGAATCCAGCAATGTGGGTGAGGCTGAGATCTCTCAACCTGCCTGTACGGCCATCCAAATTGCCATTGTGGATCTTTTTGCGGCTTGGGGGATTGATCCAGCTGTAACAATAGGACACAGCAGTGGCGAGATCGCTGCCGCCTATGCTGCGGGTCGAATTTCCGCACCTGAAGCAATACTCGCGGCTTACTTGAGGGGGGTCGCAGTCAAGATAGCCGCCCCAGTCGGGACAATGCTGGCTGTCGGATTGGGTGTAGATGAAGTCGAGGATTATGTTCCCGAAGAGTTTGCAGAGGGAATCACCGTGGCCTGTGAAAACTCCCCCAAAAGCGTCACTCTGAGTGGTGCATTCGGAGACATTGCTGTGATCCAGGACATCCTAGAAGAGACGAAAGTGTTCTACCGCGAGCTGAAAACTGGTAGAGCTTACCACTCCCCCCACATGAATTCCGTGGCACCTGTGTACGCCGAACTCTATGAAAAATCCCACAAGGCTCTGACCGCAGCAGACCTGGCTTGGCGGCGGCAGCCCGCGCCGATGATCTCGTCTGTAAGCGGCCAGGAACTGGATAGTGCAGATTTGGGAATCTCATACTGGTGCGACAACCTCCAAAACCGAGTTCTTTTCAACACAGCAGCCCAATTGTTGGGGCGAGATGACAACTACTCGGATGTCAGTATCATGGTAGAGATTGGGCCTCATCCTGCGCTCTCTGGTCCGCTCAAACAGGTTTATACAGAAGAAGGATTCAAGAAGAAAGATAACATTGCGACGTTTGTTCGGGGCTCCGACAGTGCTGTAGCTCTCCTTCGAACGATGGGAGAACTGTACGTTCGAGGCATCGATGTAGACTTTCAGTCGATCAATAATATCGGGGAGGCTCCAAGCTCACCACTCGACTTTGTTCACAGCAACAAAAAGTACAGTGCACCTCGCTATTTACCAGACTTACCCCCGTATCAGTGGAACTACGAGACGAAGTATTGGCACGAGCCTCGCGAAGTACAAGAGCTGAGGAAAACAAGATACCCCCGCCACGACATACTTGGCCGTAGAATCTTCGGACTATCTCCCCAGGGATCGACCTGGAAGAACGTTCTTCGACAGCGCGACCTGCCATGGCTCAAGGATCATACTCTCGGATCTGACGCTGTCTTTCCTGCTGCTGGATATGTGTGTATGGTTATGGAAGCTCTAATGCAGCAGCTAGATCTTGATCTTGAGGCTGTGGAGAGTATGGTGCTCAGGGGCGTGAGGATGAACAAAGCTTTGGTCATTCCAGATTCTGATGGTGGCGTTGAAACTCACACCCGCTTGCAACAGGCCGCCAATAATTGGTACACATTCTCAGTCGAATCGGTCAACCAAGATGGGCAATGGAATTTGCATGCTTCTGGTAAAATCCGTCAAATGAACTTTAACATTTCTGCCAAAAGTTCAGGCAACCAGTACAACTTTGCCCAATTACACCAGCAGGTACCAGGCAAGTCGTGGTATAGATCGTTTGACCGTGTAGGCTTTCATTACGGAGCCAATTTCCAAACCATGGATCAAGTTCGGTCTAATGGCAAGGATCGAGTTGCCGCCGCCAGTATTCGTGTCCAGACTGAATGCGGCTCGATGAAAGAGGAGTCACGATATGCAATCCATCCATCGACTATCGACGGCTGCCTTCATACAGTTATCGCCGCAGTCCACCGTGGATTGCACAAAGAAATGCCTTGGGGTGTTGTCCCCTTGGAGATTGAACAGATAACCGTCAATATTCCAAAGGCCAGCGATGTCAACACATACGGAGACTGCAAGACCTGGGTTGTGAAGACCTGGGATAGGTACTTCGAAACGAACGCTGAGCTTTTTGGCAGCAGTAGCAATCATATACTTGAGATTAAGAATCTCAAGCTCGTTATATATGACGCAGCGGTTCCGAAAACATTGGAAACGCGAGCCAAGCAGCCCTATCGAAGAATAGTGTGGAAGCCTGCCCCAAGTGAGGCTAGTTCCTTACATACCAATGGAGATATCGAAAATAGCTCAGTTGAGCTTATTAGTGCATCTGGGAAGTCTAAGCTCGCCGATTACCTCGGTTCCGAGTGCATCAGTATCTCAGAATACGTACTGAAGCCATCTCATCAGGGCCCCATTATAGTTGATGATACAGACGGCGCTATTTTGAGTAGCCCGACCACAAAAACGTTTGGGATTTTGAAATCTCTGCTAGGATCAGCGCGTCCTATCGTCTGGCTTACAAGGGGGGTCAACGAAGGAGACTGTGTTGAGGGGGGAATCGCACAGGCGTTTCTTCGTGTTGCCCGCTCCGAAGCAGCAGCGGCACGTATTATTCTTTTGGATGCCGATGGAAAAGTCAGCACACATATCGTTGCCAGCAGGCTTCAGCACTACTGCAGGGTTGCGGTACTGCTCGAACCAGATCAAGACAACGAATTTTGGCTCACCGAGAATGGAGATGTACTCGTCGCCCGCATTGAAGTGAACAACACCCTCAATAATCTTCTCAATGGTGGCGAGTCATACAAAACCTTGCCAATAAGTGCCAAACACCACGAAGCACTCATTCTTGGCAACGAGGTAATTTTTGAAGAAACGAAAAGCCCAGAGCAGGCTCTGGATTCACTACAGGTGGAGATACAAATATTATCTACTGAGATCAACAAGAGTGATTTAATCACTCATGCGGGGGACTATGGGCGCGTAAGACTTGTGACTGGCACAGTATTACGTGTGGGTAAAGACGTCGACGAGAAACTTCAAGGCCAGATGGTTCTAGCATGCGCCAAGACCGCATATGCACTTCAAACCAGGGTGGTTAGCGAGACATTCGTTTCAATCGACTCGTCTTTTCTGCAACCAAAAATTATGGCAAGCCTTGCGACTTTTTACAAGGCAGTGGATGCTCTGCGAGTGGCCGGGATTGAAGCCGGTGACAGTGTGCTTCTGCTCCCTGGCCCGCCAGATTTCCTCGACGCTATCTTGGCTCTCGGATCACATATTGGATTTCAAGTGACTCGAGTGGGCGATGATGAAACCTGTGTTGAGCGTTTTGTCGAATCTCAGAAATGCCCCAAGTTCGTCATCGCTGGTGGGCTATCACCTCTTATTCAAGAAATCTGGTCTCGCCTGCCTCAAGGCTGCAACTTGGTTCTAAGTGATGTTAATCTCAGCGAACCTTTAGACCCTCGGCCCTTCGCCCGAGGAGTTACTCTTAACATCTGTGGCATGGTCAATTTCTACGAAAACAGCTGCACTCAGGGCATTGTTGAGTCTTTGATCGAGACCAGAGATATCCTGCTCAGTCCCACCAAAGCCATTGCGATGCCGTCACAATTGCCTTTGGACATTGAGGATCTATCAAATCTCGAGGAGGCCCGGGGCAAGCTGCCTAACGTAGGATCCAACGCCGTTCAGATCCGTTACAATCAAAGCAGAATCAAGGTAGGTTGCAAATCCAATTTTCTTGTATGCCAACAGAATACTTGAAGGTGAATGGTGTTATTAACGATCTTCCATAGTCTCGCAAACGAAGACCCCAGGTGCAGTTTGACTCAGATGCAGCTTACATCCTGGTTGGATGTCTCGGTGGCCTTGGGCGAAGCTTGACAACGTGGATGTTAGAGAATGGCTGTAGAAATTTTGTTTTCCTCTCCCGATCCGGAGCCGACAAACCTGAAGCTAAGGCAGTAGTCAAACGCCTACAACAAGCAGGTGCTGAAGTTCATATCTTCTGCGTGGACGCCAGCCATGAAAACGATGTTGCCCGGGTCATTGCCGAGGTTTCGTCCACAACACTGATCAAAGGTGTCATCCACGCTGCCATGGTGCTCTGTGTATGAACCCCACCCTCCTGGTACCAACCATATAATTAAAATATTCACTAACACACAAGATAGGACAACTTACTTCACAGCATGACATTGGAACAATACAGTCAAGCTCTAAAGCCAAAAATGCAGGCCGCCGTAGCCCTTCACAACGCTCTTGGTATGAGGGACTTAGACTTTTTCATTATGACGAGCAGTCTATCGGCCGTACTTGGAAACCCAGGGCAGGCCAATTACTGCGCTGGGAACGGCTTCTTGGATTTCTTGGCTCTATACCGACTCAAACGTGGTCTAGCAGCTTGTTCCATTGCCCTCCCCATGGTCGAGAACGTTGGGGTTGTGGCTGAGAATGCGTCGATTGCAGGAGCACTGACGCGCCAGAATCCATTTAGTATTGACGAGCGAGAGATGATTTTGGCATTTGAGGCCGCAATCCTACAAGGACAGGATCAGACTCGTGATAAAAATACAATTGGGGACGCGCAACTGATTCTCGGCCTGGAACCCGAGGCAGTCATGGCGGCCATGCAGGCGTCAGAGTCTGACATGTCGAATGCATATTGGGTTACCGACGCGCGTTTGACGCCTTTCCGCTCCGATCTTCAGCAGCTTCTAGAGGCGAGCCATACGTCCCCTGGAGGTGGTAGCACTTCCCATCGTGGTACTATGACGTCTGCCTCTTTAGTGGGCAAGTCACGGACCGAGGTACTAAACCTCGTCGGATCACATATCGCTAATCGCACGGCGCGAATCCTAGGCATGGATTCAGAAAAGTTTCAGCTGGACGGTATATCCGTGGCCCGTCAAGGGGTGGATTCAATGATCGGGGTTGAACTCCAGACATGGCTGTTTAAGGAGTTCGATGTCCAAGTGAGCGTGCAGGTTCTCTCTAACCCAAGTACCACATTCAGATCTCTTGCGAGCACGGTAGCCGAACACCTGTATGTTGCAGCTTGATCATGGTAGATGTCTCAGCCCACGGTCGCATATCAACTCAATATTATTTATTTTCATGTCAATGAATCGTAGGGGAGGATGGGAAATATAGTCATTATTGTATATTTTTCTTCAATAGTTATACATGCCTTATACGCAGTATCACGCCACAATCAATGAAACATCATAATTCATCGCGACACCATCAATGACACCAGACTCAAGGACAGGTGACTTGCCGACTCATGTCCTAGCTTGACAGAGACTGTTAAATAAATCGTATAGCCCATCTTTCAAGGTCTAGGTTCAAGTACCCGAAAAGAACGTGTGCAATTAGTAGGTATTACATGGGACTATGATGAAGATAAATCTTGCATCCGGCAATCATGCCTTCTGGTTTGTTGTTTGATACCGCTTTGACTTCCGAGCCCAGCGTGTTTTGTTGCATATAATACACGTAACTGCGTCGCACTAAAGTTAACATACTTATTAACGACATTTTGCACTCGTCCTCATTGAAAATTCTCTACTCAAAATACTGCCAACGCGTAGGGACTAATGACCCTCAAAGATGATCCCGAAACATTGCTGATTTTTGAGTACTTACTCGGTCCGAGCCTTGCATACACTCGGAGCGCGATCTTTTAAGGGGATCGCCTCCTCTCCAAAGCCTGTATCAAGACCTCTGATACTTATTGAATGATTTTTCTCATCTCATGATGCAGAGAATGTCTACTATCATTGATTATGGCGGCTCTCGCATTTCCCTCGCTTGCCAAAAAGGTAACTCTTTCGGATGGCACGACTTATAGCTACATTTCTGTGGCACCGTCGAGTCATTCATCCGCAACCTTTCTGCTTCTTCACGGCTACCCTAGCTCTTGCTATGACTGGCGTCATCAAATCCACTCATTGAGTAGTTTAGGATATGGCGTGCTCGCTCCGGACTTACTCGGTTATGGCGAATCCAGCAAGCCGGCCGACCCCGCCTCTTACCGCTTGAAGCGTATGGCGCTTCATATGGCTGAGCTTCTTGATACTGAAAATGTCTTCCGCTGTGTTGCAGTAGGGCACGACTGGTGAGTCCGCTATATTATACGCATGATAAATGGTCCACTTACGTGAAATGACAGGGGTTGCGGTCTTTTATCTCGTTTGATAACCTGGATTCCGGATCGCCTCCTAGGCGCTGTCTTTGTGTCAGTTGGGTATATTGAGCCCGCAATGAAATGGGATATCAGTAAGGAGACCCCTTTTCACACCTCCTCGTCTAGGTTTAACATTGATTTCAGAAGCCATTAACGAACAAACTGAAAGTATGTTCGGCTATTCTACAAATGGCTATTGGCCATGGCACAATACTGAAGAAGCTATAAAGGACTGTAATGAAAATGTAAGTCGACTACGCCTGTCTCACGCACGCGACACAGCTAGTGACCTTATCCAAGCCGGCATCAGTGTTCACGCTCATATACGCCGCAGAAGCTGCACTATGGAGGAAATCCTTAGGCCCCGTTGGAGCAGCAGCGAATTTTGTTAAGAGTGGCACGATTGAGAAGTTGCCTTCCTGGTATGGACTTGATGAATATACGCTGAGAGATCGGATCCTATCTATTGGCGGATACCAAGGGCCACTGAACTGGTACAAGGCCGCCATGCGAGGAGTCAATGACGAAGACGAGGCTGGTCTGACAGACTCAGACAAGAAGTGCGGACTGCCCGTGCTGCTCGCAGTCAGTGACGAGGACTACGTGACCAGGGCCGACCTCCAGATTCCCGCGACCCAGAAATGGGTCTCTGACCTTACCATTAAGAACTTCTCGAGATGCGGTCATTGGATTCAGTTGGAGCGGCCTGAAGAGCTGAACGGCATGTTAGTCGACTTTGTCGAGTTGGTCACTGGCCAAGACTCCTCTCTCGTAGGTAGCGGAATAACTCAAGGGCTAGAGGCTTATACTCTTGAAGAGGCAGGCATGTAGAATTTAATCCAAGTCGAACGAATGAATGAATCTAGCTGACGCGTGATGGCTAGAAATTATCAATTCTACCAACCCGACTGCTATGGCCATGCCGATATCGTTCAATTGGGATAAGTGGTAATTAGTTGGGTTGATTTTTACTCTAATCAATGCATGGAGCATGGACAATTGTTCTTTGTAAAAGTAGCTTCAAATGAGGTGCTCACGAAGCCTACATTGCCACAGGTGCTCATCTGATCTGTCTATCTTGCTCCGAGACAATTAGAAAATCTACGCTTTTCAGCCAGTTATCACAAAGTCAATTCAGTAAAGAGCTTACCAAAAAGAACTTATATGTGTCTTCCTCCACGCTAGTATGAAGCTATCGTGAATATTATATAAAATATCTAATTATAGCCTAACTATTATATTAGCTGGTAACCCTGTAACTAGAATTGATAGAACTAAAGTAGCTATCATTCATTGTAGTGTAGCTAGTTTTAGCCAAAACCCCAATCACTGACATATGCTACCCTTACTCCTGGAATTTCTATGCGCCCTATTAGCTACCTTTCTATGCTCTGACCTACACGTGTTCGTGCTCGGGCCGAAGGTTGCAGCCTGCGACAAACACTCTAGGTCCAAACTCACTAGGTGCAGCTTTATATAAGAATTGGGAACATTACCACAGCCTGCTATTACAGCGAAGCTTTTTGGTTCAGCTTTTTATTTTGTAAGAGAAAAAGAAACATCTTAAAAACATTTGAGCGGAGCCGGTTTGATTGTTGCCACAATGACCTTGAAGACCACTCAGATGAAGGCAATTAAAGTCGTTGAGGCACATAAAGCTGAAATTCAAGACTCAACCTTACCCAAACTGAGAGATGACTGCGTCTTATGTAAAGTCAACTGGGTAGCAATCAATCCCACTGACTGGTCAGTTGCCGTTCATACATATTACATATTATTGATTCGCAGTTCGATATGATACTGATTGGCGCAGGAAACACATCGACTTCGTTCCAGCTCCGGGTGCCACCTCTGGTTGTGACTTTGCTGGCAGTGTCGAATGGGTTGGCCCAACAGTGAAAAAAGACTGGAAGATCGGAGATCGTGTTGCCGCCTTTGCCCACGGCTGTAATGCTTCCAATTTAGAAGACGGCTGCTTCGCCGGTATGTGTCTGTGATCTATTATTGTACGATCTAAACAAAGATACTGAAACCTACAAAGAATACGCTTTGGTGAAGGGAGACCTTCAAATGAAGATTCCCGACAGTTTGAGCGATGAACAAGCGACCACGTTGGGTGTAGGCATCGTCACAGTCGGCCAAGCTCTATTTCAGAAGCTTGGACTACCACTCCCGCCCGCGGAACACTCAGGGGATCTCATACTCATCAATGGTGGCAGTACAGCTACGGGTAGCCTCGCCATTCAGATGGCCAATCTGTACGCAAGACACTGATTCCAGGATGATTCATTGTATAGGAACTTCGACCCTTTGCTAACTTGTAATATGGCTTTAATTTGCAGCTCTGGCTACACTGTTATCACGACATGCTCCCCGCGCAACTTCGGGTTCACACGAAGCCTTGGCGCAAGCAAAGCCTTTAACTACAAAGATCCTGCATGTGGAAAAAAAGTAATTATTGCTATATTATGAGTCATCCGTCTATTCTCAATCAACTCTCTCCTCATTCTGACTAGAAACCTAGATCCGAGACTACACTAACGGCCGACTGAAGTTGGCCTTCGACTGCATCTCCGAGGGGAACTCTGCACGTCTCTGCTGCGAAGCACTAGCGGATGATGACAGCGGCAGTCGTATTGTCTACTTGAATCCCATCTCGCACCCGCGCGGTAATGTCGAGAGCTCCCAAGTATTGGCCTACACAGTAAATGGGGAAGCATTCGACAAGGGCACCACTCATGTCTCTGCAGCACCGGAAGATCTAGAGTTCGGGAAAAGGTACAGTTTTGCAAATACCTCAAGGATTACCCTCCGCAGAGCCTTGAAGACTTACTAAAGTATATTCTATAGATTCTGGGAGCTGGCCACGGAGCTCTTCGCCAAGAAGTTGATCACCACTCATCCAAGCATGATATGCGAGGGGGGTTTACAAGGGGTAATCGACGGTCTTGACATGCTTCGAGCGGGAAAGATTAGCAGGAAGAAACTTGTGTATCGAGTCCAATAATCAGCTAGGCATGCGCAGCAACTTCAGTATTTCGAGCCGTGGTCGGCCTTAGCTAGTTGACACATGCGCAATTTTGATACTATTTGTTTCTGAAGCTGTTGAGGATATCTACGAAGAATTGACTGTTATGAATGCATGTGGACAGTGATAAGAAATTGGTTATTCGCATTGAGAACTTATGGTCCTATTTTTGTAGTAGCTTAGTTATAATATTATACAATACCCACAGTGCTGGCAATGCTATATCATACCCAAAATGTAGTTTTGGTTAGTCCTTCACACAGTCAACCCAGTCATCCTCATTTCGCCATGCGCCCTTCAACATCATTAATCAATCAATCAATTAACTCTCAAGTCCGACAGTGGCCAAAATTGCGTGAAGACTGCACACCTAATTAGTATTTTGCGTGCTGTTCAAAATATAATACATATGATTTAAATCTTAGTCTCGATATCGAGTAAGCTATTTTCACCCAGTTTAGATAACTAGATGCCAAAAGGGGGTGTATTACCTCTCCCACATCCTTCACGTACGTATTCTGAACTCAAGAATTCTAGCTGAATAATCCTTTCGCCTTATGTCACACAACTTCAATATGATCGCAGAGTGTGATCGCTGAGTGTTGTATTGTGATATTCTACCTACATGTTCATTGCCAAAGCTGCATTCTGAGCTCTGAGCTCTGCCACGCCAAACAATTACTTTCTCCTGTAACTCAATTCGAGCACAGTCGCAGATCCCCCGCGCGATGATTGCATTCAACTCTCAGACGGCTTGGGGCCTTACAAGAACTTTCGGTCTCGGGCCGAATGGTGCATTTCCCATGTGAGGCCAGGTGCTGAGCTACTGAGCCAATTAGGTAATGTGGAGGAAATGATGTAATTATGCACCTGAAAATGGCCACGCACCTTGGTTCAACTTCTGCCCACACGGATTGAGTAATTTGAATCGATCCAAGAGTCGAGATTAAGATGACAATCAGCCGACAGCTGCTGTTAGCTCTAGATTCTTGATATAGAAGTAGTGAAAAGCCCGGGAATTGCCTGGCTTGGAGATCCAGCTTCGGCCCGAAGTGTTGTTTTATTTTCTGTTATAATACCACAAACTTCATCCTAATCTAACCTCAACATTTGGCCATTGGAACATGACAGCAGAATTAATTAGCAATCATGGAGGCATATGACAAGTTACCATATCAGCCCACGCTCGAGATTAAGCCTTTTCATGCGCAAGCCCCAGAGAAATGCCTGGATGACTTCAAGCAGCTCCTTCGGCTTTCTCCCATTGGGCCTCGCACCTTCGAAAATTCAGATACGAACGACCGAAGATATGGGCCCTCTCGTAGATGGGTAATCAAGGCCAAGGACAATTGGCTCGGTGAGTTTGACTGGCGTCGGCACGAGGAGCGTATCAACTCATTCCCTAATTTCACGGCGGCCGTGGATGAGTTCAACGAGGCGGGTGATAAACTGGAAATTCATTTTGTGGCTCTCTTCTCTCAGAGGCCTGATGCTACCCCACTGGTACTGTACGAGCCTCTTGACCTGATGCGAACATCTTTCACGTGTACGGTGCTAGTTAACCGATTTTATCTAGATATCACGGGTGGCCGGGATCTTTCATGGAATTCTTCGACGTGTTAGATATTATCAAGGAAAAGTATACACCAAGAGAACTACCATACCACGTCGTAGTACCTAGTCTACCCGGGTACGCTTTTTCTTCGGGGCCACCTCTCGAGTACGACTTCACGCTCGAGGACTCTTCATTAGCTCTTGATAAGCTGTTGAGAGGCCTGGGACTCTATGGGTATATCGCCCAGGGGGGTGATCTTGGCGCCTCGGTCGCTCGTTACCAGGCAGCCAAGTGCAACTCATGCGCCGGCATGCATCTCAATTATACTCCATTACCACGTCCACCCAATGCAGCCGCGTTGCCGGTCTCCGAGCTGGAGGAGAGAGGTTTGCAGCGCGGCCTTTGGTTCCGCGAGGTCGGGGCTGCCTACGCCATATTGCATGGGACCAGGACGGCGACAATTGGGCTAGCCTTGAGTACAAGCCCGTTAGCGGTGTTGTGCTGGTAACCGGACCTCTTTTGTTATCTCAGTTTCAACACCTCCCAGCCATTATCTATCTCGAGCCTTCTTGGACATACCATTGACGGAAAATTTAGGATCAGCGAAAAGTTTCTTGATTGGACGGACGAAGACACCAGCTTGGACACGATTCTAGCTCATGCGACAATGTACTGGATCACGGAAACCTTTCCACGCTGCATTTATCCTTACCGCGATGTAAGACATTCACTTCCTCTCTGTTGTGAATTTTGCTAAATTCGTTGGCGAAAGATGGCCGGGGATGCTGAACGGCCGCGGATTGCCAAGGCGTCAGGGGTGAGTATTTCATATTCCATACAATCGATATAGCCTACGTCGCGATACAATTTTGCACGGACAAGATATCTAAGCCGCAAGTTCTTATCAGAGGGGTCATCCCCGGCTCTATGTATCCAAGCCGTCTGGATATTCGTTTTTCCAGCACGACATAATGCCTATGCCAGCAAGTTGGGTAGCGACTAGCTGCAACCTAGTGTCGGTGGCGATGCACGAGAATGGCGGACACTTCGCGGTACGTGATACGAAAATCCTGTGATAATAGGTCACTAGCGCCACTGGTCACTAATGGTAGTCACTAGGCTATGGAGAAGCCAAAAGAGCTCTTGGCCGATATCGAGGCATATATGAAAAAGGCATATATGGGTTACAAAAGAGGACATAGTGAAACTGAAAGTAATAGGTACAGGAAGGAAACCCCCGAGGCCGAATAAGACATGAGTTAGGCCCCCTTAAATTGTATGTGACTAATAAGAAACGCGCTGTTACGAAACCACCGTAGCTACACCGAAGGATCATCTGACGTGGTGCCAAAAGAGGCCGATCTCACTTCTAGTAATTATATGATCACGTGACCACTGATCTCTATGATCTCAAATCAACAAGATCATCTATTCTCTTAGGGCCCCTATTTCTCTCTCCTCAACCTAAAAGCCTCCAATATCAAACTTGCAAATTCCCACTCGTAAGCTCTACGTTTTCTTTCCGTCCCCCATCTCTCTCAACAACACCTTCTCTCACCTGTTCCTCCGTAGCGCAAGGCGAGCTTCATGTTCAGCTTGCACGCGTGTAACAATTAATAACATGTGACTAGAAGATAGTCAGGGCTTGGAACCCGTCACGTGCCGTTTCTGGTTTCTGTTTGTTCCTAATAGACTACCGTAGAAGAAGCAGCGCTATTTGATTGACTGGTCTTTAGAGGGCAGAACAACCAAAGAGGAAGAAGATGCCAGAGTTCCCCCTCGCCTATCAAGCAAGTCGACAAGGGCACATAAAACTTTAACTTACTCATCTAAGCTTAAATCAACAGCAGCAAAATCAGTCTTCAACAATAATATCAGGCGAAACACCATGATTAAACAAGTTATTTAATTTCATAAAATAACTAAATTCCAGTGAATAGTTAACCACCATGTACAACCCCTTACATCTAAAATCATCAACATCATAAGCGTTCGTCCGGGGTATATAAATCATCCACTCGTCGCCGAGATCACCATCACCATACATATCCTTCCTGTCTTCTTCCATTACTCGAGCTGCCCACTCAGACTGGTGATGATTTCTCCGCATCACGCGACATGCTGGTATCTCTCTTGCCAATGCTCTTCCAGCTCTTGAGAGAGCCCATGCTAAAGCTGCGGTGGAATTTGCGTCCGTGCTCCTCACCTTGAGAGAATGCCCCGCGGACTACCGCACGGTCCTCGAGGAGTCCGAAGGTGCGCTTGGTGAGCTTCCAAAGTTCCATGCCCGCGATGAACAGGATCAGGGCGCCGATGGCGAGGCTCCATTCCCATGTGATGGCCGTGTGCTTGAAGACTTTGGTGTTGAGCACCGGGATGTACACGACGGGGAAAACGCTTAATGCGCCGATGGTGACGGCCCAAAACAGGAACTTGTTCTCGTAGAGGTCCTTGAATAGCGGAAAGCGGCTGGTGCTGTCGGGGTTCAGTCGGAACATGGAGCGCCGGATGTCCTTGAATTCCCACGCGCTGAAGAGAATGAGCCAGGTGAGCTCTGCGAAGACGGCTGCACGGGCGCGGAAAACGGGTTCACAGGTATCACTCCATCCCTTGTTGCAGTCTATTCCGAGCTGTCCGTTGTTGACACCATAGACCACGATGATAAAGGTCGCAAGCGTTAAAGTGCCCATCAAGATACCGTACACAACCATGTCAACAAGGACTTGTTTTGTGAAAACACCACTCTTCTTGTCGTGCGGCGGCTTGCGCATGACTTCGCGGGATGCCATCTCTCGACCAAGACCGAAAGCAGGGAAACTGGATGTGACTAGATTGATCCACAGAATTTGGAGAGGCGAGACGGGGAATACCGAGAAGCCTGCCTCATCCTGAAACCCGAGACCAGCAATCAAAAGGATGACCTCACCAACGTTGGATGTCAACAGATGTAGGATGAACTTCTGAATGTTGTCAAACATACGACGACCCTCACGAATGGCAGCCACAATAGAGTTGAATTTGTCATCGGTCAACACAATCTTTGAGGCCGACTTGGCGACATCGGAACCGGAGCCCATAGCAATACCTACGTCGGCACGAGACAGCGACGGAGCGTCGTTCACACCGTCACCCGTCATGGCCATGAATGCGCCGCGGCGGCGCAGAGCCTCGATCATGCGTGTTTTGGTGTCGGGAGCACATCGAGCCAGCACGAGAGGCAGCTCAGGCAATGCGTCAATCTCTTGGTCGGAAAGCTTATCAAAATCACTGGCTTTGAGTACGAGTGATTTAGCAATGTCGTCTCGGAGAGTTCCAAGGTTGTGTGGAATGATACCGACTTCCTTGGCAATCGCCTCGGCAGTAGCGGGGTGGTCACCAGTCAACATGTGAACCCTGATTCCTGCAGAAGAACATTCGGCGATAGCGGGTGTAGTCTCCCTACGAGGAGGATCGTAGATACCAGCCAAACCCAGTAGCGTAAGACCAGATTCCACTCGCTCACGCAGAGCATTATCACCCTCGACGTTTTCAGCGCTAGTCTTCTCTGTGTACATGCCATCCCAGGGCCGCGATGCTACAGCGAGCACTCGCTGGCCTTGGCTCGCGAATGCGTCCATTTGCTTGAGGATTTCTTCCTTGTACTCTTCCGTCATGGGCTTTTCGTCGCTTCCAGTACCGACAGTAGTGCATAGATCGATAATACGCTCGACGGCGCCTTTTGTGAAAATCATGCTGTGATCAAGGTCAGGCCCATTGTAGACGACCGACATGCGCTTGATGCTGCTGTCGAAAGGGAATTCAGCAATCTGTTTCCAGCCCTGGGCCTCAACAGCCTTCTTGCCCCGCTCCATTCTATGTGCAAACACCTGCAACGCGATTTCCGTGGGCTCACCCGTAACTTGCCATTCAGGTTGGTCATCTTTAGGCTCTGGGTCGTGTCTCACTGTTGCAAGGTTGCAAAGAGCAGCGGAGAGCAAGAAAGCTTCCAATTCTGGATTGATCTCCGCAGCCTGTTCTTTCTTGGTCTCTTCTCTGGGTGGATTGAGCTTTTCCTCCGGCACATCGAATTTGAGAGTGGCGGCGCTACGTTCCTGGTCAAAGTCTCGCTTCTTTTGCGATTCCTCAGAAGTATCCTTCTTTGCAACAGTTATCCGTCCTTCGGTAGGATTGTTCGGGTGTTTCGAGTCCTGAACAGTGTAGATGTTGTTGGACGGTACCCATACCTTTCGGACAATCATGGCTCCCTGGGTAAGGGTGCCGGTTTTGTCAGAACAAATATTGGTTACACCGCCAAGAGCCTCGAGAGCAGAGAGATCTCGAACAACCACATTGGCCTTCCTCATTACCGTAGTGGCGACAACCATGGTGATAGTCAAAACACTGCATTGAGGTTAGTAGGATGTACCCGGTCATTGGTGATTGTTCTTGACTTACGCGACGAGGGACTCCGGAATGATGGCAATACCAGTGCTAATCGCATAAATCACGATTTCTTGTGAGTCACCAAATTTATTGACGCCGAAGACGATAAGCGCTAGAACAAGGGCACATCCAAAGAGAATGTAAGCAAGTTTCGATAGCTTGATTTGCAACGGAGTTCCCTCAGTCAGGCCGAGAAATCCGCCTACAAAGTCGTATACGCGCTTGGTGAGACCAATAACAGGCTGGCGTTTTCCGTACTTTTTATAGTTCATGGAACGGCCGGCCTTGCGTTGCTTCTTCGCAGTCGACTAACAAAGGGTTAGCATTCAAGATATCAATTTGATTAATCTTTTGCAGAATATATAGACGAATGTTGAAGTCAACACAAATATAGTTTTCACTTACAGCAGCAATTTTCCCGACTTCTGTCTCCATACCAGTGAAAATAACGATGCCGCGGCCACGACCCTTCTGGACAGTAGTTGTGCCATATGCAATATTAATCCGGTCTCCAATTCCGAGTTCCGTGTCCTCAAGGCAGTCGACAACTTTCTCAACTGGCACCGATTCTCCGGTAAGAGACTGCTCATCAGCTGCTAAGTTCATAGCTTCAAAAAGGCGAACATCAGCGGGTATAGTATCGCCCATCTTCAGAATGACAATGTCTCCAGGTACAACCTCAGCACTGTCAACTAGTTAGTATGACGCTAGGCCGCGTTGAAGGTGGAGAGCTTGAAGACATACTTCGCTATCACTGTGGTCTTGCCGTCACGTAGAACCATGGCGGAGGGAGATGACAGAGCTCGAAGAGCATCCATCTTCTTTTCAGCGCCATATTCTTGGAAGAAGCCAATGGATACATTGAGGACAATGACGGCAGCAAGGACACCACCTTCAATATAATCGCCAACAACGAAACTAAGTACTAATGCAAAGAACAAGACCTGCCGAACAGTTAGCCATTTGACTCAAACAGTTTTATCAGTAGTGTCTTACGAGGATCATAGCATTGAGCAGCTGTTTGATAAAGATTTTGTACCATGGTATGGCACCACCGACGTCTAGCTCATTCGGGGGGTATTTCTGTTGAAGTTCGGTTACCTGAGAAGAAGAAAGCCCCTTCTCCAAGTCTGAACCTAAGTGTTTCGCAACATCCTCTGCAGACTGCAGGAAAGGGTGCCGCTCGTATTCTGCTGCCATTATGGTTGAGCGGTAGCTCCGAAGTCCCGTGTAGGAATTGAATGAAAGGACTTCATGAAGAGTACCACTGGTGTTGATTTTGCCGAGGCCTTTGTTTCTTATTGTATGTGACTCACGGACGCACGGAGACCGTCATAAGGGTAATAGTTGACTATAAAGAAAGCTAACACCTCGGGATACAGAATTAAAGGAACTCTATTTCATCTTTGCCGAGAGGAGGGGAAACCGTGGTATATGTACTCAATTGACGAATTTTCCGCGCCATGATGCAGTGCCCGATGCTTGCTCCTTTGCCCATCGCCAAGAGTACCAAGAATGTCGTTATCATCATCTTTTGCGGACTCGCAGACTCATGGTGTGAAGGCGGATAAAACGGTGCCGTTCTTCGAAGTCTTGGATACCGGCCGGACTCCAGTCCACATTATCTCATTGGGCCAGGGCATATCTGACAAGCTTCTAGCGTGGCTCATTAAGAAAGTTAATAGTGGACAGGGCGGTTGAGGCTCTGGTAATAGCAGTCGAGGAATTTTCGGCCTGCAGTTCCCAGCGTGCGAGTCGTACCATGTTAGGTCATTGACAAGTGAAGAATTGAATCAGGGGCTTGGCGGTGAAAAGCCATATACTTTCCAAGCGCAACGACTTCCTTGGCGACATGACGGCCAAGAATCTCCGTGCTGGGAATGCATCGATTATGACGTTCTCATCCAATACTGCGCAGGTTAATCCCACACCAACACCACCAGTTTGGGACGAAGACTTGTCGCTGGCTTGGTGCGGTTGCTGGTTGGATGCTATCATCTTGGCCGTGCCAGCCGAGCGCTCCCCAAGGCCCCCCCAAGGCTCCCCCAAGGCTTGCCCAAGGCCCTCTATTTCTGCCCAGGGCAGACCGGGGCAGACCAGGGCTTCAGGGCAGTGCTCTGCTGTGCTCAGGGCAGCGAGGCACAGCACGTGCTGGGCATCACACTACGACCACGTGACCCCGCGCCAACTGCCCCGCACAGCGCTCATCAGCTTGGCCTGTGCTTGGCTGACTGTTCTGGCTGCCTTGGCACCTGTCCGTCGGGAATCGGCACAGTCGGAGCGCCGGCCGAGGTACTCCCAGCTGCCGAGGTGGAGCTGCCAGCTGAGGCCACATGACCCTTCTCAGCCACAGCATATGACTCAACATATGCAGGCAAACTTTACTCCCTGCCAGCACCAGTAAGTAGGTACCTACCTACCTATCCCATGCCTACGTAGGTAGTAGTAGGTAGTCTTTGAAGTTCGACCATATTCGATGGTTGTCTCTGAAGAAAGACCCGTGGTCTTACATCAGCCTCTACCTGCAAGACTGTTCGAAGATGAGGTAAATCTGAAAACCTCGCGATTCTGTTTGCCATCTATTACTGGCGTCCAACTGGTCTGTTTCCCGTTGCGCACCGAGCAAACAGTACATGTAGGTAGGTGTTAGGTAGGCTAGGCATTCCATACCTAGGTATCTTAGAGTACCCCGCCATTCACCTACCACCTAGCCTTACCCAAGTAGCTCTAACTTAGGAGCGAGGAGCCTCAAGTTAGATGCCGAATAGACCCTTCAATCGCGACTGCAACTAAAACACGAGCCCCTACCCGTTACCGCTGTTGATTTTTTGATCGCATTCACCATGACACAAGACCCTAGCGACCACTCTACGTCGACTGCTTCCCAAATTACCAATTCGGTCCCCAACGGTTACCCCACCAAGACAGACCCAGCCAGTTCGCCTCCCCGCTCATTATACGACGTATGTCTTGAAATTAGCAAGAGGGTTGACAGCCTTTTGGCTGAGAACCCTAAGACAGATGTACTCCGGAGTCTACAAACGCGAGTGCGCGAGGCTATTGGGGTGGTGGATGAAGCTTTCCAACGCTATGGGTATGTCTCGAACGCCAGCGGCCCATAGCCGTCATCTTCGTAGGCTTCTATCAGCTCGCTGATGCCACAACGTGTAGGCTTCCAGAAATATCTATATCGTATAATGGTGGGAAAGATTGTACGTGAATATGTCGGCTCTCCCTGCGTGTCAAGGGCCCTTCAACGTAGATGCTGATTCTCGCCTCAAGGTCTCGTACTCCTTATCCTAATTCTTGCATGTCTTGCGCGTCGATACCCCCCACCCAACAAAGATCAATCCTGCGAAGCTCCAAATGGATCGTCGGACCCCGTGCCTTTCCCTGAGAAATTCCAAGCTGTATATATTGTATCCCCACATCCATTTTCCGAAATAGACGAGTTTGTGGCTTCGTCCTCCGCCGAATATCAATTAGACGTCATGCGCTATGAATTGAAAATGAAAGATGGACTGGAGGCATATCTGGCAGACCGCCCAGCTGTCAAGGCCATTTTCGTGGGCACACGAAGAACAGATCCTCACGGCGAGAGGTTGACACATTTCGACCCTACGGACGGAGGTTGGCCTGATTTCATGCGGATACACCCTGTCATTGATTGGCATTATGGTACGTTTCCCTTGCCTAGGTCTCCAGAAGGGTTGAATAGGCGTGATAAGCCTATGCATTGAACAACGTTAGCTAACTGCTGTGCACAGCCGATATTTGGGCGGTGCGTCAAGACTCCCTGTTTCTAACTTGAAAAGCGGAAGCTACAACGAGCGAGGGTCAATGGCTAACGAGGAACAGTTCATCCGACACTTGGAAATTCCATATTGCCCATTGTATGACCAGGTGAGTTCGACCTTCTAGAACAAGAAGCCTTCGCGGGTGAAATAGAGTAAGAGGTTAACATGATACACAAAAGGGCTATACAAGTTTAGGTGGCACCAAAGATACCCAACCAAACCCCAAATTAAAGAAGACGGATGAGAAGGACGGCGGTTTTCTGCCGGCCTATGAATTAAAAGGTGATGAAAAGGAACGACTGGGGAGAGATAGATGATATTAGTGCGGACGCACTTCGTTTCGCGTTGACCTGCGACAAGACGGTCGCAATCTGGAAACTCCATTAGACTATAGAATCAATATCAATCATAACTTTAAGAACACATGCAGTCTTCCCTGCGTTAGCTACTTTTCCTCATAATTGACAGTTTACCGATTCGAGCCGATTTCGGCCTAGGCTTCTCCAGACATAGGCAGATGATGAGATTGCCGGTCTTAGCCATTTTCGAACAAAACCGGAAATCTTTCTAGTTGACTGCAAGTGTAGCCGAAAAGGTCTACGATGGAAGATGCCAATGCTTATGATGCGCAACTACCCACTTGCTATGGTATTCAGCGCTATATATTTGTTGGTGGGATGCCCAGCATTGATGACGACACCTTCGCTTTGTCTTCCGAACTGTCTCCCTTCACATAATAACCACCCACGGCCATACATATTTGCGCACCGACAAATCGTCAAACTAAGGTGATTACTATAGCCACATGTATGAGGAGTTGCAGGACGAGAAGACGCAGTTAGATCATATGTCTTCCGCAGGTACGCATACTTTACAGCTTCCAGCTGTGAAGAAGAAGCGATGGAAAGGGTTAAGAGCCGCCCGCCAAAAGGGATAGATAGGTACTTGTTGCACCGAGTACTTCATATCGAAGCTTCTGTGGGTCGAGATCTTCTACCCCAGTCGCCAGTACCCGGTCAGTACCCAGTCACTTACTTACACACGAGTTTCCTGCATGCACGCAATTCTGGGCCATTGTCAAATGACGAGGACTGGGGCGCACCGACTCAAACCAGATGCGCAAGAGCCGATCGTGGATCCGATGGTTGTTCTGGCTGTTCTGGGCTGCACACTACCTAGCGCAGATTACCTACCTCGATTACCTACATGGTAATACATACGATACATGCTGTTCCCTTACTTACGCGCGCAACCTGTTTCACCTCGTTGATTGGCCTGGGGCGGGAACTGCGATTACGCCATGGGTAGGTACAGTGCCGATGGCATCGCCGTCCATCAACACCGTAACAACACGCACTCTTCTCATCGAAGCTGAACATGACCTTCGAGAATGTCACGGTCTGGAGTATGTGCGTGCACACAGGAACAGGTCTAACGATGTAGGTACTCGGTACTGTCTGTGATGAGGAAGATTGTTTGCTTTTGCTTGACCTAGTCTGACCTAGGATCACAGGTCGTGATACACAGTAGTAGGTAGACACATGGGGGAGGTAGCGTAAGTCTAAATAGAGCTAAATGAGGCGATGTACATGAGGCAAAGCTATAGCTACTTCCGTACAGCTCGTGAGGCACCTCGGCAATACACCATCCGCGTGCGAGGGAGCCATGTATCGTCTTGTCCTGCAGCAGGTACCGCCTTAGTACTTCTCAAACTGCCCAAACTGGACCCCGAGCTTCCCTCCCGGTCTTGTCACCATCCCGTCAAGCAGCGGTCTTCTTCTTCCCTGATCCTCGTCACAGTACCAGACCTCGCCTCGGCCGCTTGGGGTTTAACCATTAACCCGATCGACCGTCTTATGTAAACACACAACACAAAGGCGCTTCCTCCTCTCGTCTCCTCTCCGCGCAGTCGCACGCACTTGCATGGGGAGGAGGCCCAGGAGAGAGCTTCCTTGCTTAATGTTTTTCCCGTCCCGGCCGCGCCTCTGATTCGCCCACCAGCCTGTCCTACTCTGTGCAGATGGAGCAAGAGCTCACATCGCTCTCTTCCCGACCCTGCCAACCTCACCTCACCTCACCCATTCTGTCCGCCCGCGCTTCTCTCGCTCCCTTTCTTCTCCCTTTTCCATCTTCATTCCCACTGCATCCGATGCCTTGATACAGGGCCAAGCTTCTATCCCACAGTATCCATCGAAAACATCAAATCGCCCCCAGCTCTTAACTCATCGCATTGTCATTTTGCTGCTCCGCAACCTTTAGTCCATCGCACTGTACCAGCGCTTCAACTCGCTACTCCTACGTCATCGACCATGGCTGAGAACACTGCCGCAAACATCGCCAAAGGTAGGTTTTCCTTCAATCTTGTATCACCTGTGTCGCCGACATGCTATGCATCTATGCGCATGTTCAATTGGCCAGCTTGGATGCAACTGTGGCTTGCGCATGCACTCTGAGTTGCGCAGGTTCGTCGCAAAACACAGTGCAAAATACAGTGTGCTAACACATTGACCGTGTTTCAGACCCTGTCGCCGGTGCCAACGACAAGGCGCGTGATACGGTAGACAACCTCCCCCCAATCACTAAAGAAACCGCGGCCACGGCAGACGCCTCCATGGTGCCTTCGGCCCCCACAGAATCGGCTGCTACGGACGCGCCTGCCGCATCTAGCTCCGATGCCACCGCCAAACCAGAAGTATCAGCATCAGCTGCCGGGGGCCAGGAAGCTTCGAACAAGGAGTCAAACAAGTCTGATGCTGCAGCTGTGTCATCAGAAAAGACTTCCGATGCCGTTCCCACCCCGGTGGCTCAGTCCACCACCACAGAGACCGTATCATCCGGGGCAGATTCAAACGCGCCTGCGGCTGCAGACGGGGCGGCAGAGCCACCCAAACCAGTCTCAGTTGAAGAAATCCGTGACGAAGAGCTACCCGACGCCAAGCCTGTGGAGTCTGAGAGGCCATCAGAGGAGGCTTCCAAGATGGAAACATCTCCGGCTGAGAGCGGCGATAGCGTCGTCGCCAGCAAGCGGAAAGTGGACGAGTCGAATGATGAGACCAAACCTGAGGCCAAGAGCGCCGAGAATGATGAGACGGAGCCACCTGAGAAGAAGCCAAAGACTAACGGTACTGCTACTAACGGGACGGTACGCAAGCCCGGTCGCCCCAAGAAGGATAAGACTGTGGCTGCAGTTAAACCAGTAGGCAGAACAGCCAGGAAGACACGCAGCCAAGGTGCTGCTGATTAGCAGACCGTGATTAGGCATTTACGAAGTTATGGGGTCTAGTTTTTGAATAGTTTATGTCATCCGACTACGTAAAACGTTACGGGCAAAGTTCGAATATGCTTCCTCTATAGTTTTTTGGGGGAGGGGGAGGGAGTTTGGTATCACAATGAAACGCGTCACTATCGGGGAATCCACTGCTGCAGTGCTCAGTGAAAAGGGGGACATCAACTGGGAATTGGCTCGTACAGTTTCTTTGCCGGCGAGAAAACCGCACAAGAGCTTGCTGTATGCTTTTTTGTACATAATGTTGGAAATAGCAATCTACGGTTCCAAGACGATGTGCATGTATCACGTGTTATGTGATTTGGGAGTTTTTGGCTAGAGAGTTTGTAGGTGGAAGGTATGGTAGGGTAAGGGGAGATAATGTGCATCCAACTATTAAAAGGGGAAGGCGGTGATATTTGACGATAAATATGCTGGACTGTATTGTAACGGACCCTTCATCCTACTGTAAGGCATATTATAACTTAATCTTCTATATAAATATTTATATAAAATAAGTTATAGTATATATTCTTTATTTAATATATTACGACGAAGGAAGGGAAGGAAAGAATGAAGGTGTGGGCTGCGCAGCAGCTCCTATATAGACCCTGTAGGGAGCTTGTGCCCCAGGTCCTTCGTGTATGCAATTGCAGCCAACCTATTGTTTTAACATAGAGAGTATATCGTGTTTTGAATTTAAGCTTAATGGGTTCATGTTATATGTATGTATAGTTAAACATATACTTTGCTTATGGCTACATATGTAATATATACATTCGGGAAGGGATGAGATGGCTGGTAGTTTATGAATGTCACTAGATAGAAACACCGACATATGAACATAACCTTTCCGTTGTGGTTTTTTAGCTTGACCCGAAAAGCTGGTATGGAACCAGTCCGCGAAAACTAATTGTAACAATTAAATTGATTTTATAGCATATGCTTGATTCTATAAATAAGCTAGCTGACTACCTAAACAACTAGTTAGCTATATCTAGGTTTTCCAGCCCCCCCTTGACCGGTACACATATTTATAGATACAAATGATACCCTCGCTTGACCTCTCATTCGTGAGTATCCCCAATGGCCGCGGGGTTTCCTGGTCACAGAGTGCAGGATGGGATGGCGTCAGCTTCGATGTAACCACCTTTACTTACCGGACGAGAATGTATATATATAAGGACTATCGTTTCCTTTTCTTTTTATTTGAGCTTTTATTTCTAAATGCGACCAGGTTAATACTAGTGTTTATCATCAAAGGGACTCGCAGAATAAGACAGGATGGCTTCCGTCAAAGTCTTGAAGACTCTCACAATGGGCAAGGTAAGATGGGTCACAAGCTGATTCTCTCAGCAACGCATCTCATATAATCTGTTCTACTCAAACTTATGAGCGGTCTAGGGCATCACGCTCAGTCTCCTTAAGAACGAGGATGCGGCTGAAGATTCGATCGACCGGTATGTTGCGGAGGTAGTCGCCACCGGCGAAGAGCCCATCAAGATCCCACCTCATTGGCACAAGGTAAGATAGGGGCGCATCTATCGGCTTTTCGTGCCATCTACTGAATAGAGCGCTCGATGTTCAGGAGCATGCCGAGCAAATGACTATTATTGAAGGGAGAGTCAAAATCACACTCGACGGCGTCGAGCGCATCGTCAACGCGGGCGATCCACCGGTCCTCATTGAGCGGCGGGTCGTGCATAGCATAGAAGGGTTCAAGGGGGAGAAGTTCGTCGGACAAGAACGGCCTGTCCCGGGTGGGAATTACAAGATCATGTGAGTGCTACTTTCGCCGGCACGGCTTGATATGGACTGACCCTTCGAGGTTCTTCAACGATATGCTGCATAAGGGGACATCCCCGGGTTTCTGGTACCTTATGAGGGTTTTCTACGATGGAGACGGATATATTGCTTTACCGCTGCACTTTCGGTTCCTTGATGAAATGGTACGTCCGTACGCCGTGATCTGTAGAATTAAACTCATGTGAGTCTCAGTTCATGAAATTGTTCGGCGGCATCGCCCATCTGTTCGCGGCGCCACGCCCGACGGAGCTGTGACTCGTGCTGTAGTACGGCCGAGATATCAGAAGACCAAGCTACGGAAGGTCGTAAGTCGACGTACTGTTTTTCTAACTGCAGGCTTCGGGGTTGCAGCCACTGCATACTCCAAAGGCGAGAGTGTGGCACAGTGGCATGGAGAGATGTGATGTCCCTGGAAGGCCTCGGTACAGTGGCATGGGTATACTAAACGGCTGCAATCATAATAATGGATTGTTAATGTTGCTGAGGTTTTTTTTTCCCCTATGAGTTTACAGTATGCCAAATAAGAATAATCTAATATAGGATATCAAGCACGATATTTTGAATTTCATGCCAAGGCGTAAGGGATACCTACCTAACCTAGTGAGTTGCCGAGCATGTGCGATGGCTCCCAATACTGCCTAAGGTCGCATTCACAGGATCACGGACTGGTTGGCTGATGAGACCAAGATAGTGTATTGCAACATAACCCCCAAACGAAAGCCCCTGTCAGATGGTATATAACCCTTGATTAAACTTTCAATCGATTAGTGTTATTTTGCTAGCTTTCCGTTTAATCAGGGTCTCGTCTTGGTGCAGCATGTCTTCCGCAACAGGCAACTCATTGGGCGACAACAGCGAGAACCGTGGACCACCACTCCGCATCTATGTCGTTATCCTATTCGTCGTCGCGCTCATCGCGACTGGTTTGCGGTTCTGGTCGCGAGCCCTCTATGTACCTCAAAGCAGACAATTCCATCGCTTTTGGTGGGATGACTGGATTGCTTTGGCGGCCGCGGTAAGCATGCAGTACATAATCGCCACTGATCTCAAAACTAACTCATTATCCTAGGCGGCCTTCACATTGGAAGTAATAGTTACACTTCTGATGATTGAAAGCGGCCTAGGCCTTCATATCTGGGCTTTGTCAATGCCCCAGCTTGCGAGCCTGTTCAAATACGTGTATGCGTTCCAATTTGTCTATGCCATTACAATTCCTCTCAGCAAGGCGTCTGCATTGCTGTTTCTCAAACGCATCTTTCCCGATTATGAGAAAACCGCGTGGTTCAACGTCATCGTGTGGGTTACACATGCCCTCAACGTCGGGTGGTTCGTTGGAATCGTCGTCGCCTCGTTCTTGAATTGTGATCCCGTCGAAAAGAATTGGAAACCTTGGGTGCCAGGGACATGCCGACCTACACATGAGCTGTATTTGGGAAGCGCAGTAACAAGTGTATTTATCGACCTTATCATCCTTCTACTGCCTATGCCTCGGGTCTGGCGCCTTCGAATTGGGTTCGCTCGGCGGTGTGCAGTTACAGCTATATTTGCATTAGGATATACGTGAGTTGACCTGAACATTACTGTGTTTTCTAGAGCTGAGATACATTATTATAGCGTGGTTATTGCGTCAATTGGACGTCTAGTAGTTACTGATACCAAAGCCACTGGATTGGAAACGGATTTTTCATGTATGTGCTATCTTGTTCTAAAAAACCTGCTGGACTTCTGACATCAAAGACGACAGACGGAGGCTTAGATGTGTTCTACTGGACATTTGCCGAATCAGCAACTCTTATATTGTGCATCAGTCTACCAGCTATGCCTAACTTGATTTACTACTTGTGCGAAGATTCTTGGTACCGTACGGGCAAAAGGTTCCTTTCTTTGTTCCGTTGCGGGCGTTTGAAAAGAAATCCCCAGGAAACCAGAGAGGGCAAGGCTTTATATGCTACTACCAACGAATAATTCGTTTAAACGATCCCCATTTCCTACAAAAAACAATGGGCGGTAGAAGTTGCAATATTAGGAACTCGGTTCGAGAGTCTATGCTGACTTATCATGCGGGTTAATTATGGCGGTACGGTCTACCTTGTAGCCGCTGGGTCTTGAGTCTATAGATAAACTGAGGGTTACCCCCCCTTGTTGACCTGATAGTGGCCAAAGCTTTTGTAGGTAGAATTTTCTTTGGGGTACATCTAACGCGTCTCCCACTTGACCTGGCTACCCAATTGACCTAGCCACCCAATTAACCTAGCCACCCAATTAACCTAGCCACCCCCTTAACCTATATAAAAACCTAATGTTTTAATTTATAATAACTTAACCAATATTGGTTTTATAATTTAATAATTAATACTATTAAATCCGTTATTTAATAAGGAATCCAATAGTATTTTTTATTATTTTTTATAAAATTTATAATAAATTTATATATTATAATTAAATTTATTATAAATTTTATAATATTAAATATAAATCTTCTTTTTTTTATATAATAATTATTTTAATATATAATATAATTTTTTATTTTAATAATATTTTATATTTTTATTTAATTTTTAATATTTTTAATTATAAAAAATCTTTTATTTTATAATTTAATTTTTTTTATATAATAATATTTATTAAATTTATAATTTATTTTATAAAAGTTTTTAACTTTTTTTTTTAATAATATAAAATAATATATAATATTAATTATATTATATATAATTTAATTTAATCTTTTAATAATAAATATAAAAAAGTTATTTTAATATTATATAATTTTTTATTTAATATATTTAAAAAAGGAATTAACTTTAATTAAATTATTTAAAGTTATAATTATATAAAAATTAAATAATATTAAAAATAAAAGGTTAATTTAAAGTATAATTAAATAATTTAATTAATTAATAATATATTTTAAATTATATAACGCATCTCCCACTTGACCTGGCCACCCAATTGAGCTGGCCACCCCCTTAACCTATATAAAAATCCAATGTTTCAATTTAGAATAACTTAACCAATATTAGTCCTACAATTTAATAATTAGTACCATTAGATCCGTTATTTAATAAGGAATCCAGCGGTATTTTTTACTATTTTTTACAAAATTTATTGAGCGAGATATTAAGCAATACGCTAAAAGGGCGCTAGGTAAGGATTATTTTAGCGCTTACTTTAGCGTACTGCTTAATAACTCCACGAATATAAGTCGTATGAACTAATGGAGGGTACCGTTAAATAGCCCTCTTTATTACGAATCTAATGGTATATTTTATTATCTTATACGACCAATATTCGTAGAGTTATTAAATTATCACGTGATTAGCGCACCGACGTTTTTTATATGGGCTAGGGGGGTGGCCAGCTCAATTGGGTGGCCAGGTCAAGTGGGAGATGCGTTAATATTAAATTTATTTTTTTAAATCCTTTTTATATATTATTTAAAATAATTATTTTATTAAATATATAAAAAAATATAATTATAAAATTTTTCTTTTAAATATAAATAATATATATTTATATAAAGCTTTTAATTTATTTTTTATATAATTATTTAAAAAATTTAAATATTTTAATATTAAATAATTAAAAATAATAAAAAGAATAAAAAAATATATAAAAAATAATAATATTATTTTTTTATAATATAATTTAAATTTATATAAATAATAACTTTTATAACTATTAAAAAAAAAAGGTAATAATATTTTTTTATATAAAGCTTTATATATTTATTAAAATATATTATAAATAGATTAAATTTTAAAGGTTAAGTATAATATTATAAATCTTTTTAATTTTATAATAGGTATTTAATAAAATTAAAGCTTAAAGAAGAGAAGAATCTTCTTTAAAGTATAGTTAAAAAGGGTATATAATATATATAAAGTATATATATTTTAAAGGCCTTAAAATATTATAATATAATAATTACTTTTCTTTCCTTAATTAAGTTATCCTTAATTTAATATATAACAAATTTATTAATTAAATATAAAATAAAAAGTCCAATTATATAAATATATAATATAAAGTATTATAATAAACGTATTAATATAATTTATTTATATAAAGCATTATTATAATAAAGATATATAAATATTAAGCTTATATTTATTTTATAAATTATATATATTATATATTACCTTTATAGTAAAATTTATATATATATTTTTATTAATTATTTATTAACTTTTTTTTTCTTTTCTTCTTTTTTCTTTAATTATTATTAATTTTAAAAATTAGTTTTAATTAAAAACTATTATCTTATTTCTATTTTTACCTTATTTACCTTTATTTTTTTATTATATTTATATTATTATTACTATTATTTAAATTATACCTTTTAAAGGTAAAAAAGGTAAAGGTAAAGCTTAAATTTAAAAGAGTAACTATATTATCCATAATAATAAGGGTAAAGCATTATTACTATTACTACTATATAAATATAATAAGGATATAAACAAAAAGCGTATTAACGATAAAGTACTTATGCTGCTACCGTTAATACTATTAGCATTATTAACTCCCCTAGCATTATTAGTACTGCTACTAGGCGGTAACAATAATAATAAAAAGGGCGGTTCGGGTTAGGACCGCAGCGGATCCGCTAACCCTCCGCCTAATGATCATTTAAGCTACGGGGGTAATTTAGATATTAAAGGCAGAAACCCCCGGAAGAAATATAAATAATCCGTAAGAATAAAAAATTAATACTATAATAAGTATATTAACTGTATAGTTATATTACTTACGTTAATATATTATAATTATATTAGGTATATTAAATATATATATTAGTTTAACCTTAATTTTCCGCTTAAACTTAATTATTTATTTAATAAATCTAACTTTATTAATTATTATAAGTATATTAAAGCATATTAAACATATAAGCCTATTAATATTTTTATACCTATATTATATATAAATTGTTATTTATTTAAATTTAACTTTTACTTATAATAACTTTTAAAATTATTTGCTTTATTAAATTCCTTAAATGGAATTAATAAGCATTTATACCTAAAATAATTATTAATAATATTTAAGCTATAAATAATAATAAAGTAGAACTTTAATCCAGCTTATTTAAATTTCGTATTAATATTATAGCTATTTAATATTACTTCGTTAAATTATATTTATACCTCCTTTTAACTTATTAAAATCGTTTTAATATAATTAATAATTAAACTAATAAAAAGGTATAAAGCTATTTTATACCTATTTTAAACTTATTATATATTATAATAATATTATATTTAT